ATCATTACTACCGCTGAGCTTTTTACATTTATCCGGTTCGCTTAGAAAGAGCTTCGAGGAACTGTTAAAATGATCCTTCATTTATTTTCTACCAGCACACTGTCTGTCATTGAAACATAAACTTTTGTCACGAACCATCGGGCTTTAGAATGAACATCCCACCAAGGCGCGTCCTGATCGCTGTAATAGTTCTTTCTTCAAAGGATGTTATTGCTTAGATGGATGGACGAGCTCACGGCCCACCTGTTATTAAGTGGTTACCGAAGCCCATAGACATCTACAACGTAAATGCCGCCACCCACTTTGAGATAATAATATGAGTTTTAAGGTCTCAGTATAGTTACAACGGCTGTCCCACCCTTCAAACCGAAACGTATTACTGCTTCACGGCAGCACGGCAGAAATAGTGTTCGTGTTAGCAACGTCGTGAGGTTTGACCCCGTGAGCTTTCCTACTAGTTAAGGTTACGCTGCGCTGATATAGCCTCTCAAGGCTCTCAGCTTAGGTAGGCAAAAAAAGCACAAATAGGCAGTGTGGTGGTATCTACCCGTGCGGACTCACAAGACGTCCTACGACCAGTAATTACGCAAATTATAAATTTGCGGGTTTGATTTTTATTACACGCCGTTATTCCTTCACCGTGGAAGTCAATCGTGAACATTTGTTAAGTACGTATTTCATTAGAAAAATTGATACCCGCCTGCGGGATTCGAACACCGGTGCATCACTGCATACCACGATGACTTCAAATTTTTTCAATTGTTATTTGTGGATAGTAATCAGCGGTAGGCAACGACTTACCCATGACCCTGATATTACTTACCCCCTCGAAAGAGCACTCACCTTTAGGTGAGTCTTAATGGCCTGCTTACAAATACACTATCAAATTAAAAAAAAGATTTTCAAGGCACTGGCTCCTTCTCTAAGAAATGTTTTATGTTAATAAAAAAAATTGAAATTGAGTTTTTCTGAATTACAATTATCATCATATCATAATATTATCAAAACATGGTAAGTAAGTATACGAGTAGGTTTGCTACCATTACGATCGAGGATAATAGTCCTTCACATTTCTGCTTTATCGGGAACAGAATGTTGATGTTTTTTTTTTTTCATTAGTAAAGAAATATCTCACTTGTGATTAAGCGCATAGAGGCTATCACATACGCTTCATGATTGGGGTTAAATTCCGGCCAACCGGTCACTCTTTCGTAACTCCTTGGCAGCGCGCTAGAGGGCTGGTAGCGCGCCGCCACTCAGGTCCCCCCTTGACCTTCACCGGGGGGAGGCCGCTACCTACAGGGGTCGGGACGTACGGGCGTATTCCCGTCTCCGGCCCCCGGCTCGACGGCGATGGATCAGTGCGGAAAGGGAAGAGCTCTCCCTCTCTCGTTCCGCCGTCTCCTTCTACGATATGGTGGACTCGCAGAAGTCGAGCATTCCAGATTCGAGTCGAGTCGAGCGTTCCAGGACTCGTCGCTGCCGAGCATCGTAGCCACGACGCGCGGCAGCGAGAGGTCCTCTCCTATGACCGCGACGAGGGCGGCGCGTTGCTCGTCGAATCCAGAGCAACGCGCCAGTGTGTGTTCCGCTGTGTCTTCCTCGTCGCGGTCTGCGCAATGATGGCACTGCGCCGTCGGTTCCCTTCCGGCTATATTGTGTAGGTACCGACCAAAACAACCATGGCCGGTCAACATCTGAGTCAGCCGGAAGGTGAGACGTCCGCGGTCGCGGCCCACCCAGTCCGCTAGAACCGGGCGGATCGCCTCGACGGTACGGAGGTCGGCTGATGGGTTCGCCAAGCGGCGAGACCACGCCTTCAGCACGGACCGCCGAGATTGGAGCCTCCGCGCTCTAACTACTTCGCCAGGGCGCCCTTCCCCCCCTAGAACGAAGGTCGCTACGCCACCCGTAATCGGCAGCGAGCGCCTCCGCCTCCATTTCCATGTCCAAGTCTTCAAAGCAATTGGGGATCGTGAGTTCATTTGGGGTTTTCATTCCGTTGACGTCATTAATGTTGTGCGCATATTGTGCGGCATTTCTACAGCGACGGAACTCGTATTCCAATATTACTAATCATTAAAATAATAACTAAATTTGAAGATATAATTCCAAATTTTCTAAACTAGATTTTATTGCTAACAAATACATAGATTATGTTTCAAATGGATAGGTACTATTGCAAAACGGCAACTTCATAGGTAAATACATACTATTGACATATATTACATATGTACCGTGGAATAGCTAGTTTGGGATGACGCTAAATTTTACCTGCGACTTAATTTACGTAGAAGGTGAAAATATTTTTGAATAATAGAATGTTGAGGAGCTATTTAAGGTACCAAAATCACGATTTTTAACCAACTTCAAAAGAGGAGACTATCAATTCGAACACCATTTTTATGCGACATTAAATGTTATGTTAAGCCTATAGCCTTCCTCAATAAGGGGCTACCTAGCACTGAAAGAATTTTTCAAATCGGACAAGTAGTTCCTGAGATTAGCGCGTTCAAACAAACAAACAAATTCTTCAGCTTTATAATATTAGTATAGATACATATGTATGTATGTATGTATGATGTATGTATAAAGCATGAAGTACCAGGAAAGGAAATCATTATTCTTACAAACGTAGCGAACACTCAATAATAATAAATAATAAAACTTAACTATTATTTCTTTACTTTATTAACCCAACGAAAAAACCATTATCACTGCCTACACACATTAACAACATCTTCCTCGATATCATCCTACAAACATAGTCAACTTTAAAAAAAAAAAAAAAAATATTACCTACTTTATGATCATGAAACAGTATTAAAATATATTTTTCACCTCAGCAGCTCAAACATGCCGCTTTTGCTGCGAGATAACAGTGAACAAAACACGATTTTGATTCGAGTGTGGATCAAAGTAACTTTTTCATTTTTCAATCTTCAGTGCCACGAATTGACATAGTTCAGCCATAAATTTGAAACATTCGAATTTTACTGTGCTCTCTGTCTCTTTCACATGCATATTAAAAAGCAAGTGAACAAAACAAATCCCTTCGAAATTCGATTTTGGAATTCGACCTCAAAGAAAACACGTTCGGAAACGCGTAATACCCTAAAATTTAAAGATGTTTGTAATAAAGAAATGTTTTTTTTAAATAGTTATTTCAATCTATTTCTGTTCATTTCTATGTCTCCTTGTGTTCTCACTGTTGAGGTGAAAAGATATGTGTGCGAACACGAAAGTAAAGTTTTTTGCATCCCGTGCTGTTGAGTCCCTCACTACGCTCAGGATTCTAGCTGAATCACTTGCTACGATCGTGAATCAATCATAAAATCCTTCGCTTGCTCGGGACTCAAAATCAGCACTCGAAACAAAAAGTCGTCGTGGCCTAACGGATAAGACGTCCGGTGCATTCGTGTTGAGCGATGCACCGGTGTTCGAATCTCAGGCGGGTACCATTTTTTCTAATGAAATACGTACTCAACAAATGTTCACGATTGACTTCCACGGTGAAGGAATAACATCGTGTAATAAAAATCAAACCCGCAAAATTATAATTTGCGTAATTATTGGTGGTAGGACCTCTTGTGAGTCCGCACGGGTAGGTACCACCACCCTGCCTATTTCTGCCGTGCCCATCTAAGCAATAAAAAAAACCACTTTGCTCTCTTGTTATCGCTTTTGTTTGTTTTTATTTCATTGTTTGAGTTTTTTCTTTATTCTTCTAATGTTTTCAATTGTTTTACGAATTAGTCAATTTGGGTTACCACCGTATAACCGTGTCCGAAATGTAAGCATAAAAAACGTATAGAACCATCAAAATTACTCGAAGGAGGTCATAAAGAAGATATTAACTACTAAAAGCGACTGAAACTACTAATACTGCGGCGGCGGTAAGCAGAAAAATCAATTGAATTAAATTAGAGAAGACATATCCGCAGTCCACCTGATGTTGACCACCAAGTTAAAGCATTATTAATGTCTAAAGTTGAATAAATCGGTCTCGTATTCATCCACATGGACTCCCCAGCACGGTTCCGACATAACCATCCCAGACGATTCTCTGGTGGTATCAGCGCTGTCTGACACTATAGACGGGCCACTGGGTTTAAACCACTTTGCTTGATGGAGTTGACAATATCGGTATATCTCAATATTCCTTCTATAACGGACTAGAATGATGGCATGTTCTCTGCGAGTAGCGATGCTGCTTCGGCGCCTACAACCCTTCGTAACCATCAAGATAATTTGTGATCTGGTACCAACTCTTTTGAGTCGTTGGCAGCCGGTAATCAGAGAAAACTCAGCATAAACTAAAACACTCCCTTTGTCTTTTGTCTTTGTCACGGCTATTCTTCAGAATGGCATAATTAATGAAAAATAGACAAAGAAAATTTTCATTATTGTTACTGAAAAATAGGTAGATAGTAAACCAAAAGACAAACGGTTTCAAAAAAAGAGGAGATAATTTCATAATATATATTTATTATATTATTTTATTGCAATTTATATATGATAAATACAAAAACATGTAAGGAACTTAGTAATACAAAAAATGTAATAGGTAATACATAAAAAGTTTCTACTTTCGGAGATCCTAGCGAAATCACGTATAACATATTTTTAAAATAATGGTAGAAAATTGTAGATGAATAGAAGAGTTCACATCACAGATCCTAGTTACGTGATTTAGTTGGTAGAAAGGCGCGAATGGTCCACTGGGGTTTGAAAATAATGAAGGAAAAACAATGATTTGCTGTTATCAATTCAGCTTGCTAAGATGGAACTGTGAGGTTCTAGTAAACATTCACGCGTCCATGACAACGCCTATTTATTTAGTTAGTTTATTTAGTAAGTAAGTATTTAGTAAGTAATCCTTTTAACCAGATTGAAGAAATAATCTGGAAATTAAAGAAAGAAGGAGATTTATAGGTACAAATTTCATTTATTATGTGTTGACTGCCAACAAAAACATTCGATTCATGCGAAATTTTGGCTTATAGGGGCTCGAAATTCCAACCGTAGTGTTCAAAATTGACATCGGTTCGCGTTAATTCTCCGAAAAGTTGATGCTCATCATTGCTGTTCTCTTTGAGGTTAATCTCGATAGGATCGTTAAACTTGCGATTGTAAATATAAAAAAATATCTCCGACGTAGCGGCATTTTTGTCGGGCACTAAATACCACTGGAATCTTTCGCTGCTGGCTCTGTCCGAGCCTATTAGTGGTTGAATACCGTTGGCATCCTTTTCGCCGAATTCAAGGTAGGAATTGGAGTCAGCATTCCAAATTTTGAAGTAGAGCTTGTTGCTCTCCCACAGTGGCTTGAATACCCAACTGCTCCTCACGTTAGTATTATCAGAGATATTTATTATTGCCTTATTTTGCCCCGGTGTCAGCTTTATTGAGTAACCATATTTCGCGTCCGTTATTTTGATAGCTCTGTCGTTGTAAAATAATCGGAACTGTATTGGAAAGTTATCGGTGATGATTTCTCTCGATCCGGTAGTCCACAGTCTGTACGAAAAATCGACGAGATTGCGAATTTTGTCTGATATCAACTTCGAAATAGTTTCTTGAAGTTCGCTGTCGTTGTTTGTATGTAGCCGTTTAGCAATAGATGCGGCGTGGTCATAATCGCCAGATATAACACTGTCGTATAATTGTTTGTTGTATTCTGCGCTTATCGTTTGGGCAAAGAACAAAAGCGCTATCAANGTCCACAGTCTGTACGAAAAATCGACGAGATTGCGAATTTTGTCTGATATCAACTTCGAAATAGTTTCTTGAAGTTCGCTGTCGTTGTTTGTATGTAGCCGTTTAGCAATAGATGCGGCGTGGTCATAATCGCCAGATATAACACTGTCGTATAATTGTTTGTTGTATTCTGCGCTTATCGTTTGGGCAAAGAACAAAAGCGCTATCAAAACAAGTTTCTTCATTTCTTTAGCTGTCTTTATATCCTGCAGAGAAAAAACGCATATCATTAATATATTAAAGAGGAATATCTATAGAAAAATGTTTCTTTTTAGGGGTTAGGGCAACAAGCATACAGTTAAGAGATAACTGTTGCCAATGTTGACAATAACAGGATTACTGGTGGTAGGACCTCTTGTGAGTCCGCACGGGTAGGTACCACCGCCCTGTCTATTTCTGCCGTGAAGCAGTAATGCGTTTCGGTTTGAAGGGTGGGGCAGCCGTTGTAACTATACTGAGATCTTAGAACTTTTATCTCAAGATGGGTGGCGCATTTACGTTGTAGATGTCTGTGGGCTCCAATAACCACTTCACACCAGGTGGGCTGTGAGCTCGTCCACCCATCTAAGCAATAAAAAAAATGGGTGGTTCAGTGCTTAGCTATTAAATTGTAGGCTTGCGAGAGAGATAGTGAGCTACCCCAAAATTCAATCAAAAACAAATATTCCAACTAAACAAAATCTAATGTACACAACACAAGACGGGTCAGACGATATCAATGAACTGATGGCAGAAACACGATTGACAAATAAGGGATGATTAAAGTTGTAATTGTATTAACTAGAGGTCCCGCAGTAGTCGAAATTCGACTATAATTAATTGGAATTGTAAGTTTGTACACTATTATGATTGTATTTTATATTTCTATAATCACAAATTTCGCCAAGACTACTCTATAAAAAATATTAACAAACAATATTTAATCTATTCTCAATTTGACAACAGACGTCAAGAACAAAAGTTTGACAATAAATAGTATACATGCGTGAGTGCGTCAAATACATGGTATGTAGTGTGTGTAATGTTTTCTTTATTGATTTAACGTATCTTTTATGCATTAATTAAAAAAAATATTAGCATTGTGCACTTCTTCTCTGTATTCTCTATAAGTGTGGAAAATTTCATACTCCTCCGTCCGCGTAATTTTCGTAAAAAGGGATACAAAGTTTTTGCTTCACGTATTAATATATAGATAGTTGAAATAATTACCTGAATCGGTTCTAGTCAGTCGTGTACGATGTTTAAATAGGCACTAGTTAAATGATATTGGAATATTTCTTTTTAATACCTTATCGTTACACGGGGTTACAGAGTTGGCGATAGTTGCGCTGATGTTATCGTATGATGTGTCGTGTTGTGTTCGGAATTTTGTGAACAAAACTGATTTTCCCTTTATTTTATTTTAATCAGGATAAACCTATTTTTTTATTTCTAGACGGGTGCCTTCGATTGTCACGTACCCCGCGTCAATTACGGGTATTTAATTTTTTCCCTGTCAACAAGTTATCCAAACTTTAGAAAAAGTAGAAGTGTGTTGGTGCAAGTTCTGGTGAGCACGGTCGGTGAGGCAAAACTTTCAACCTTGTAGCTTAGAGCCCGGCTGTTGTGACGTATCAGATTTAACGTTGTTATGTAGGAGCGGCGGAGACGAGCGATTCACCAAGGGTCGCCCGATATTTGCGAGATCCCCATCATTCTTGTAAAGAGTATGTCAACGCTGAGAATATATGCTGTAATAAATGCAGTACTGTGTTCAGTAATTCGTGCTTTTACGTGCTAACGGATCTAGAAATCGCTAGATAATGCATGCTACACTGAATGGCATAAGCGACTCTTATGCCGGAAAACTGTGATGTTGTTTTATTACGTTTCATTAGAATTTTTAAGAAGAATTAAGGTGCATGGCTCCTTTTTGAACTTATGAGGCTCCGACAATACATTCTAGAGTAATAAAAGCGAGTGTTTGTTTATTTCTAAAATTATTCTCTATGCTTTCCTAAACAGTTTAGTCGGATAGTATGAAAATAAGGACGGTATGGAAATTGATACAGTTGTTGTGCCCACCACAAAGGTTTGTCTGAAAGTAGCATTCACATACACACATACATTCTTGACGCAAAAGAAGTTTCAACAACTGCAGTTGTTTTTCATACAATCGGAAATATTTACAGCGAAGCTTAGCCAAAATTATAATTTGCACAATTAATAGATATAGGACGTCTTGTATCCGCACGGGTAGGTACCATCACCTTGCCTAATTTTGCCATGAAGCAATAATGCGTTTCGGTTTGAAGGGTGGGGAAGCCATTGTACTGTTAAAAATGAGACCTTAGAACTCATGTCTTAAGGTGGGTGGCGGCATTTACGTTGTAGATGTCTATGGGTTCGGGTAACCACTTAACACCAGCAGGGCCGTGAGCGCGACCACCCATCTAAGCAATAAAACAAAAAGGTGGATGGAGGAAGTGGGCAGCGGTATTTGTGCTATTAATGTTCACGTTGTATTGTCAATGACATCGTATGATCGTTTATAGGGTGGGCGGAAAGTTTATCTGCGAGCTATCTAGTACCTAAACGGTGCGATTCCTACCTCCAGGGTGTGATGCTGGATCAGAATCAGAGCTATCAGATAGCTAAACTTCTTGCAAAGTGTATTTTGATTTGGAGTAATACGTTCTCAATTTTATCAAATAAACAATCTACTTTTAAAGTTTAATTATAATCTACTTAACATTTAATTTTATTTATCACTTTAAAACTCAATTAAGAGAGAAGATCTGAAATTAAATAAATCGAGAATTGAACAATAATATTGATATCAGCGATGACAACATTGAGAATCCACTGCATTCACCTTTGCTCTGTTTATCAATTGTTTGTTTCATAATGGAATTTAAATAATCCAATATATATTTTTCATAAATAAAAATTTGTTTATAAAACACAGTAAAAAAGTGATAAAAGTATGTAATGATGGTGTTTTTCAAGAATCGAAAACTAAAGCGAATTTCTTTCCTTTTTGCTTTGGGGGTAACTTACAACTGGAAGATTTTTCACCGAGGGGGCGAAATTGCTTGGTAGACCAATACATAATAATAGGGGTTAAATTATGAAATTGCCGTTATTGTAACAGGTACCGTTTTTTTTTTTTTGGTCAGGAGGAAGTCGCCGGCTTCCGCCCTCCACTGTGGATGGAGGGCGGAGCATGTCAGAGTCGAACTGACTAAAACCTCCTGTCGCACAACAACCAACGTCCAAACCTCGCATGAGACAGAACTCATGAAGAGGCAGAGGGGGGAAAGTGAAGCGTTTAGTGCGGAGCACATCTCTCCCATCACCCTCCCCCTCGGGACGCCGGACCGGCGGTCGTCGGCGTCACAACCACCAGCCCTCTCGGTGTAATAGGTACCTACCTACCTAGTTCGAATTGACATAGAACTTTCATGGTTTGAGATTTTTGAGTGAAACTTTTTTGAAATGGTAACTAACTACCTATGAGGTTCTTCTTTTTAAAAAAAAAATGTGCGACATTCGATTATCGATTTTGAGTTGTTATTTTTTTCGGCTTAGACATGAGTAGACTATTATCAAAGCCGGCAATGTGACTTTTGGACAATTATGGGTAAATCAGAAAAACGAATTATTGACTTTGTATTCCATTGGCAGTCACAAAACTCTTCTGAACGACATCTTAGATAAATAACAGGTTAAGTATTAACCTTTATTTAATGCAGGTTTTGAACCGTATTCTTTGAAGGAGACGATTATATTCAAATCAATCTGTATTGACATATCAATAANAGCCGGCAATGTGACTTTTGGACAATTATGGGTAAATCAGAAAAACGAATTATTGACTTTGTATTCCATTGGCAGTCACAAAACTCTTCTGAACGACATCTTAGATAAATAACAGGTTAAGTATTAACCTTTATTTAATGCAGGTTTTGAACCGTATTCTTTGAAGGAGACGATTATATTCAAATCAATCTGTATTGACATATCAATAATTTTTTTTGTCCAAATGCACCGATGGCCACCTTTGATAATAGACGACTCACATGAAAAATAGATACTTCGAAAATTCGAGTGATTTCCGACGCAGAACTAACGCTGCAGAAACAGCTCGCTATGCGAGTATGAATGTTGCGTTTGGAGAGGGAACGCTAATGAACGCACCATGCAATTTTGGTTTAAACGCTTTCGTGATATAAATTTTGATTTGAAGAACGAACTACGTGGAGGACCAGCCGGTAGATCGCGTTCGACCGGTCGATCGTGGCAAGACAAAACATATAAATAGGTACATAGAACAGACTTCTTTTTCTAATGAAATACGTACTCAACAAATGTTCACGATTGACTTCCACGGTGAAGGAATAACATCGTGTAATAAAAATCAAACCCGCAAAATTGTAATTTGCGTAATTACTGGTGGTAGGACCTCTTGTGAGTCCGCGCGGATAGGTACCACCACCCTGCCTATTTCTGCCGTGAAGCAGTAATGCGTTTCGGTTTGAAGGGTGGGGCAGCCGTTGTAACTATACTGAGACCCTTAGAACTTATATCTCAAGGTGGGTGGCGCATTTACGTTGTAGATGTCTATGGGCTCCAGTAACCACTTAACACCAGGTGGGCTGTGAGCTCGTCCACCCATCTAAGCAATAAAAAAAAAAGACTGCGCAACGTAATCACCAATTGCTGCACGCATCATTTTCATCTTGTATTATTTGTTAATGACCATTACGTCATATTATTTCTCCTCTCTTCCACATAATAGCTATCTTTTGTCATATAATTTCAGATTTATTTTAATCTTTTTCATAAAAGAAAATTTGCTACTTATTCGTATACTGAACTACAGTGTTTCATTAAATTTCAAGAAATTTTATAACTTACGAACCTGAGAAAGAATCAGGAAAGGGGGGCGTCGACGATCTGATATCTAAACAAAAAATAATTTCTTGGGATTTCTAAGCGCACCTGAAACTAGGGGACGCCACTCTCCGAGTTTACTTACAGTCATGGACAATTTCCACATCGATCGTACGAGACGACAGGGCGGGCGTCTTACTCTTAGGAACCAAAAACGAAATCAAACCCGCAAAATTATAATTTGCGTAATCACTGGCGGTAGGACCTCTTGGGAGTCCGCACGGGTAGGTACCACCACCCCGCCTATTTCCGCCGTGAAGCAGTAATGCGTTTCGGTTCGAAGGGTGGGGTAGCCGTTGTAACTATACTGAGACCTGAGAACTTGTATCTCAAGGTGGGTGGCGCATTTACGTTGTAGATGTCTATGGGCTCCAGTAACCACTTAACACCAGGTGGGCTGTGAGCTCGTCCAACCATCTATGCAATAAAATAAAAAAAACACGATTTTCACAGAAAAAGTGCCAACCCGAGCCAAGTGCACAGCGAAAGGAACTTTCGGAACTTTCGTTCGGAAGGAACGTTTCAAAAACTGATTTTGGGTGCCGTTTGTAAAGCTATCTCTCGACAATTCGGCAATTAAATCATCAGAAAATTTATTAACGATTGTTTCGATTCTATTTTCGCCAGCCTTTTCGGTTTGAATTTTAGGACAACTGTTATATTCTTAAATTGGGCGATTGACAAACTAACATTGGCACAGTAAAATAGATTTTGTAATACTTCGAAAATGCTAGCAGCTTCATGATAATCGCATTATCGTTGCTGCCGCTGACTACTCCCCAAATCTTGCTCACGCAGGAGCCAGTCACCGTCGACGCCTTGACTCGTGCTTACGGATCCATTGGATCCTATAATAATAAATAATCCTATAACTGTTGCGTTAAACGCTTTGAGCTCTGACACTAGGAGCAGGCTTAGACACTGGTAACTGGTGGTAGGACGTCTTGTGAGTCTGCACAGCTAGGTATCACCACCCCGCCTATTTCTACCGTGAAGCAGTAATGCGTTTCGGTTTGAAGGGCGGGGCAGCCTCATGTCTCAAGGTGGGTGGCGAGATTTACGTCGTAGATGTCTATGGGTTCCATTCCGGTAACCACTTAACACCAGGTGATCCGTGAGCTGGTCCACCCATCTAAGCAATTAAAAAACCCTACTCGTCGAACTCAGCAATGAGTTCAACGTGCAATCTAGACCATACGTGAGCCCGCTGAGTTTCTCAGCGGGTCGCGATTCCGATCCGGTAGTAAAATTAGTCACGAAGCAGTTACTCTTGAGTTGTTAGGTCTCTTAGAAGCGCTCGGATAGCTGTTAGCAAATGCCACCCACCCCTCCTGGCTGAGCCCGTGCTGGTGAAACTGGAAAACTTTGGGCCACCAGAAATCCTTCTTTTTAAAAAAAAGATATCGTTCATTTATTTGTCGCAATAATTCGGTATGGCCACTCGATGATGATAGTTTTTACTTCCTTCCCTTCCCTTGATGGCTGATTACAGAGATCATTTTGTAAATCATCGTGACTGTTGAAGATCTGTCACATTAACCCGAAAAATCTACCACGCCATTACTGTGATCAATATAACGCTATAGCTGATATTAATGTTATTGCAGTATTCCGAAAATTGGCTTAAAACTCGCCTATATCCTCTTCCCCTTTCGCAAATTGCTTGTCTTACCACTAGTGTAACTACTCTTAGTTGATTTTATAATTTTTCGAAAATAAGCCGAATTCCATACCTCTTATAAGCCTATCTGCAATGATTACTCTAGTCTTATTTTAACATCTCGCTATAGTCCTGTCTTCAACAGAAAACACCTGATAATTTTCTTTCCTAATTATGGATTTAGAAACTTTAGAAGCGTCAACTACTTTATTGTCAAACAATTAGGATTAAAAGTAATTAGACACCTGTACACCGCTTAATCTAATCCGCTTTTTGTACACAGAATTGCCATTTCCTGATTAGGTTTAGGCAATAACAACCTTTTTATTGTTTAGACATGTGAACAACAGATAGTTATTTCACGTATTTTGAATTTATAGGCTACCGAAAATATAGCAACGTTTTTTGTTACGTTTATAGTGTGGTTATTTGTAATAATATTCTTTGTATACGCTTATTTTAACCATACGTTTACGTGACAAAATGATTTATTATAAATTTATTATTATTTATTTAATAAAACCACATCGTCACATCGGTGGTCCTTATCTTTTCAAATATTATAACTTGAAGCAAAACCAGTTCGAACTTAACATTAGTTTAATATAAATCGTTTTCTTTATAAGTTCCCAACATAACAAAATAATCAAATTTAACCACTTTATATTTTAGGGTAAAAAAAAATATTTACACAAGAAAAACATATTCAACAGGATCTTTGAATGCAATGCAAACACTACTATAATTTCTAACTAATTATGAAAGAGCTCCTGGTAACAAAAATATTATGATATTTGCGTTAGTCCAGCAATAAAACAGAAACGTAGGTGAACAAAGGAAATTGAATAAAAAACGATAGATTTCAAAGAATACCAAAAATCTGTATTTTATTCTCCAAATAATATTTCATTGCTACTCATTCTGGTTGGGTTTCGTGAATATTTAAAATATAACTTAAAATGCCTTAACACCCCAAGCGTAATGTTCGGGACTTCCGATCACTCTACCATTGTATCCCCAGGCTATGCGGTTACCCGAGGGCTCAACCGTCCTCGACAGTGTCAAAGCCTTGCTGTATTCACGGTTGTAGATGTAGAACAAGACGTCATTGTCGTAATTAGCGGGCTGCAGGTACCACTGGGCTCTGAAACTATCGACGCTGTTGACTCCGAAGGCCATGTGGTCGCCGTTCGGGTTAGTACCGACTCCCAATACCAAATATTGGTTACGCTCAGTGTTCAAGATTTTGAAGTAGACCTTGTTGTTCTCCCACAGAGCAATGAACTTCCAGCTGACTTTCGGGCTTGTTTTGTCCTTGCCGTCGCCGAAGGCAAGTCTGCCATCGTCGCCGTGAAAATCATTGCTCAGCGTCAAAGCGAGACCGTCGCGCTTGTACATAAGCTTAATCGCGTTTTCGGCGAAGATAAGTCTGAACTCAACTGGGAAACAATCCCGGACGATTTCCTTGGAGCCCTGGAGCCAAAGTTGATAGGCGTACTCCATGCAGTTCATCTTGTTGTTTCGTATCAATTTGTTCACTACATTTGAGATGACTTCGCACTGCTTCTCCTCGTATAAATGCTTGCTCTTTTCAACCGCATTGTCGTAATCGCCAACGACGATGCTATTGTAAAGCTGCTCCTCCAGAATGTCGTTAGGGACGTCGGAATCTGCAGCATACAGAGATGCCACGAAGAGACATAGAATAACTATAACGGGCTTCATCTTTGGAGCGTTGTAACCTAAAAACATTTAAAATCAGTATTAAAAATGTTATTAAACAAAACTGTAACTAATAACTTAAATTAGCAGCTATGCGTTCTTAGATCAATAATGCAAAATGTTGCTCGCGAGCTTGACGTCAATCTTGTCAAGCGAAACTCGATAACTGCCTCAGTTGTTGAAACAATCCATTTTTCTTAATCACTACATTTGGCTTCTTCGAGATACATATAGACCGGATGATAACGACACTGAAACGCCCGAGCCTTAACAACTTATAGTAACGCAATAGTCACAATCTAGTTTCGGTACATTGAACACATCGGAAATGTCGAAAGGATACCTAGACTGTTGAATGAAAAGACTAAAAAGCCTGAACCATGTGTAGGAATTCCAGTGGTAAGTAGCAAGTCTAAAAACAACTCCGCCCTGAGATAGAGGAACACCTTTGAATTATTTCACATGGTTCTAGGTTAAATTAATACGAGAAAAGCTAGAAGCTTTTGTCAAAATCAATTTAGATATTTATATGCTTGTAGTAAAATAAGTATGTACATAACAAATTAACGAATTATTTCTACAATGAAGGAATAATATCAAGTCTATTTCCTTCACAAAACTTATGCGCTTAAAGTGCATACAACTAATTAGACCTCACGCCCAAACGTCGATGACGCTATTCAAGTTGTGATGTCTATAGGCTCTAATAGCCAAACAATACCAGACGAGCTGTGAATTCGTTCAATAGTCTACTAACTCCTATAACTAAAAATATTTTCTATTCTATTTAAATAGGACCTCGCCTATTTTTTTTTTATATTTCTACCCAAGCTGAGAGCCTTGAGAGGCTATTTCAGCGTAACCTTAACTAGTAGGTGAGCTCACGGGGCTCAAACCTGACGACGTTGCTAACAAGAATCCTAGCAAGAGCCGTGCATCGCGGAATCTACCACCGGATCGGAAACGCGACCCATTGAGAAGATCCGGCTAGATACTCAGTGGGCTTCATTCGACCAGAACAATGACCGGTCGCCTATACCACATGTTAAACAAATACCTTAGATTTAGTACTACATTATCGCTCTATCTAGTTATCTTTCTATTTGCCCATAGTCGTCCACTGCTGGCCATAAGCCCCCCCAAGTCTCGTCACAAAGACCGGTCCTGCGCTGCCTGCATCCAGCGGATTCCCGCGAACCTCAATAAGTCATCGGTCCATCTTGTGGGAGGCCTAACCACGCTATGTCTTCCAGTACGGGGTCGCCACTCAAGAGCTTTTCGGTCCCAATGACCATCAACCATCGTGTGTTTGGCGATGATTAATAAAATACGACAAATTAAAGGAAAAATCTCAGAAGTCTTAGCATGGGTATGTTATGTTATACACCAATTTAAAGAAGTTAAAGATGAATGTTAATAAAACAAAATATAATAACATGGATTTTTGGGTTAGCTCACCTGTGCTGTACAATTACAATCTGGCTGCTTCGTTTCCAACTCTGCCTTATATACTTAAAATTGTTTTGAATTTAAAACGTCAGATGCGATATCAACATCTAAGTTCAAATGTCAAATGAAAGTGCATCGAAGTAAAATATATCTGAAAATTATCACGCCCCGACATTATAGTAATTAAATTATGTTTTTAATAGAGATTCATTTAAAAAAGAATTTTTTTTTTTTTTCTACCTATTCGCTGATAGCCTAAGGGGCTATTCCAACTAAGCGCGGGTAGGTGAGCTCACGGGCTCTACCTGAGAAAATATGCTAACGCGAGCTCTAGCAAGAGCAGGGCTCAGCATAATCTACAACCAGATCGGAAGCGCGACCCACTGAGAAGATCCAGCGAGAAACTCAGCGGGTTGTATCTGTAAGTTAAATTGCACGTGTAATCCTCCGTCGGTGAACCGGCGACCAGTACTTGGGATGCCTAAAAGCACCGCGAGTGGATCATGAGGATCCGAAATTACAGCGTTACCCGGTCGTCTGGATCTGGTATGTAATTAGAGAGGGCTACGATAAGGCTGCGTTTCCACCAAAGATTTGCGAGGATGGGTTGCGAAGGATGTGTTTGTTAAGAACCAATAAAATCATTTAACTTACTTAGCCTTTCTATCGCTATCCTAATGCTATCCTGGTGTAAACGGCTTGGTAGAGCTAGATTTTTGTACATGCAAACCAAGGCAAATATGTGTGCTACGGATGTGTTGCAAGGGGTATATGGTAGGGACGGACACAAGCAAAAAAAAAAAACAGTCACTGTACGGTGTTTGTCAGAGGTCATGCATCGTTCCACAGCATCGCTACGAATCGTTCGCACCGCTCAGCGACCTAACACATCTCCGGTGGAAACACAGCCTAAGAGGGATATCAAGTCACGTCGCTTTTGTTGAAAAAAAAAACTTTTTTTTATTAGATTGGTGGACGAGCTCACAGCCCACCTGGTGTTAAGTGGTTACCGAAGCCCATAGACATCTACAACGTCCACCTTTAGATACAAGCTCTAAGGTCTCAGTATAGTTACAACGGCTGCCCCACCCTTCAAACCGAAATGCATTTTTTTTTATTGCTTACATGGGTAGACGAGCCACAGCCCACCTGGTGTTAAGTTATTACCGGAGTCCAGACATCTATAACGTAAATGCGCCACCCACCTTGAGATAAAAGTTCTAAGGTCTCAGTATAGTTACAACGGTTGCCCCACCCTTCGAACCGAAATGCATTACTGCTTCACGGCAGAAATAGGCAGCAGGGTGGTGGTACCTACCCGTGCGGACTCACTAGAGATCCTACCACCATTATCTAATTGTTTCTAATGAAGATTTACATTTCTCGCATTCTACGGTGCTCCGACGGCTATAGGACGGTATGTCATCCTTCTGCCGTGAGCAATCCTTAGATATTTAATTTTGATATTCACGGCCCGGATCTTTCTGAACCAGCCCTAGTGCGCTTTCAGAAATTATTTTCGTCACGCACCATCCCGCTCTGAAACGGACCGCTCTTACGATATTTGTCGAGTGATAATATGTGTAACCTTTGAATAGAACGAAGCTTGAAAAGATCTTCAACGGTAGCCGGCAACTTTTGGTAGTGCTCCTAGCATTCATGTCTACGAGTGACGGCGATCAGTCACATCCTATCTCAACCAAGAAAACATACCATACTAGAGGGAAATTACATCTGCAATTGACACGTCATCATGCAAGTTCCTGGTCCACTTGGTATTAAGTGATTGCCAAAGTCTGCGCAATGAAACCTTCGCGTCAGTATTAACCTGGATGGCGGCACACCCGTATGGATGCACAAACACTCGATATTTTTTCCACATGAAACCCGTGTTGTATTATGTCATATATTCTTCAGATTCCAAGAACTGCATTTATTCAAACTGATAACGTTTTATTTCATACTAGGTTTTGCCCGCGACTTCGTCGGCGTGGAATAGTTACTGGCATAACGCAAAATTTTACCCGCCTCTTCGTTTACGTAGAAAGTGAAAATATTTTTGAATAATAGAATGTTAAGGAGCTATTTAAGGTAAATAACGCTTTTTAACCGACTTGAAAAGAGGAAGTTATCAATTCGATCACAATTTTTTATCTGTGTTCACCAATTTCTCGAGAATGCCCCTTTTTTTGAATGCCATTGTAGGCAGACGAGCATACGGCCCACCTGATGGTGAGTGGTTACCGTTGCCCATGAACTTCAACAATGCCAGGGGCAGAGCCAAGCCGCTGCCTACTGCTTAATACTCTCCACAAGCCTCGTTTGAAGAAGGACATGTCATAGCGCTTGGGAAACACCGTGGAGGAGAGTTCATTCCATAGCCGGATGGTACGTGGCAAGAAAGACCTCAGGAATCGCTGTGGATGACCGCAGTGGGTTCAGGTAGTATGGCTCCGGTGGCGGGCGGTGCGATAGTAAAAACGAGATGACGGTATCGTCTTGAACAATTCCTCAGAGCACTCCCCATGGATCATACGGTACAAAATACAGAGAGAACTGAAGTCCGTCTGCAAACGCAGAGGTTCCAAACGATCCGTGAGAATGGGATTATCGGCAATCCGAACGGCCCTCTTCTGTATGGAGTCAAAGGGAAGAAGCTGGTATTTGGGGGCCCCGGCCCAGAAGATGGGAGCAGCACTCCACGCGAGGCCGGACTTGTGCTTTATAAAGCAAAAGTCTTTTTCCAGGCGTGAAGTACCGCTTCGCTCTGTTGAAGACTCCCAGCATTTTGGACGCCAACTTGGCTTGGCTTGGCTATGCTTGAACCGATTCGGATATTTCTTTGTTTTGATCGAAAACTTCCCGAATGGTCCTGTAATCATCAAGATCTGATGATGGGATCCTGGAGAAATCCAGAAAAAACTATAATTGTCGAAGCCTATTTTAAAGTGATTTGGGTGTTTCAATGTTTTAATGAATAACATATTTATTTGGATAGGGATTAATATCATCTTTATAAAAACACCTTCACACATAATGCTTTACTTTAGAACAAATTTGGTTATCTTAAAAACGTTTAGGCCTTAACATATAGACATATACTGTCGCGGACATTTTTTTAGATCTTTTATTCTATTTTAGCAAATTTTAACCATTTCCGCAGCGCACGCAGCGGAAGCTCTCAAAAGGGAAAAATACCCAGATTTTGAAACATTCTTTATTGGTGCTCCGCTTGCATTGGTCTTTGCGTGATGTTATATAGCCTATAGCCTTCTTCGATAAATGAGCTATCTGACACTGAAAGAATTTTTCAAATCGGACCAGTAGTAGTTCCTGAGATAAGCGCGCTCAAACAAACCAACAAACAAACTCTTCAACTTTATAATATTAATTAGTATAGATAATTATGAAAAAAACAACTGATAACCGGGGGTTAAGACGAGAGAAAGGTTATTATTGTTGATATATAATATAATTGTTCAAGTATTTATTATACAAGTAAAGGTGAAATGTAGATAAACAGCAATACATCTATACATATAAATAAAATTGGTGTGTCTGTTTGTAATATTGAAATAGCCGCTTTTTACTACATGCATATGAATATATATACGGTACATACACCAAAATAACATTTTTTATAATTTTTGTCTGTCTGTCTGTTTGTTCCGGCTAATCTCTGAAACGGCTGGACCGATTTTGACGGGACTTTCACTGATAGGTAGCTGATGATATAAGGAGTAACTTAGGCTACTTTTTTTAGACTAGCTTCGCCTTGCGACGTCACCCTCGGTACGAAAATAACTGCGAGTTACATCGCGGGACTCAGCTATCAATAATAAAATTTAATGTTTCCGAAGCGAAGCGAGGGCAGGTCGCTAGTATACATTTATAATAACTTGTCCTGACTGATTGATACATCAACACAGCCTCACTTGCTGGATCCAGGGCCCTGAAACTGCGATACCTTAAGACAAATATTTTTTTGTGTGGAAACAATGAAATAGAATGTTAATAGCTTTTATATCGTGAGCACTATGTATGGGAAGATGTTTAAAAATTTCATCATCTTACGGGTTAAATTTTGAGAGAAAAATACCAATTTATGTTTTAATTTATTTCTACCGAACGGCAGGTATAAAACGTTTTGTAGTTTCTACTTAATGCCATAAGGTTGACAGTTTAAATTAAAAGCTCGTCACTCTTGAAGAAAAAAAAAGCATAAAATTCAATATAAAAACAATACGAAGCCGTGGCGTGACACTGATTTTAATTCTTTTGTATTTGCCTTTGAAAATGTATCTACATATATATCTATACAAAAAAATGAAAAATAGTGCCACAATTAATCGCCTTCTTAGTATAATCGTTGATAGAAATTTAGTTACAGAATGTTTCATTGCTATTTATCTACAGTAATACCTACAATAATACACCCAGACCCGATTAGAATGGTGTTATGAACCACGAATATAATATGTCCAAATGCCATACGGTCTCCCGAACCGCTATAAAATATCTTCACTTCAATTTTTCATTAGTATTCAAAGTCAAAACAGCAAGTGACAATTTTTCTGTTCATAGATTATTACAATGAATGAATAATGTCGTTCATTAGGTATCAAACATGCAAGTGTTTATAAAACTAACGAGCAGTTTATTTCATCTCACTTGGTTATAGTCTCAAACAAATCAACTTTACATCATTTCGCTACAGGTAATTTTTCATACAGCAGTATATATAAAAGATTGGGCTGTATGGTGAAATACTTTATTTCATCTCACTTGGTTATTATAGTCTCAAACAAATCAACTTTACATAATTTCGCTACAGGTAATTTTTCATACAGCAGAATATATAAAAGATTGGGCTGCATGGTGAAATACTTTCGCCGTCTCCATGGGAAAATACAACTACAACTCAGACAGTTGCTAGGCAACGGGTGTCAAAACAAAGCGAAAAATTATCAATAAGTAGCGATGATTTTATGAGTCCTTTAAAAACTATAATTAAGACAACTATAATAGGAATAACATAATAATTTAAAAATACTCAGTACTTGATTCGTGTCTTGACAATTAAATAGTTACTGTATTTTTCGATATGAAAGCTGTCGATACGATTTTGTTCGATGTATCTAAAAACGAACTGTTTAAAATAAGTGAAAACTATAAGCTGCTTCATCGTAAACTGAAAACATCCTGGAAGGTTATGATGTGAGTAAAAGTTCCATATAATTGGTAATTGGTAATCTATATATCTAAAAATGAATAGCTGTTCGTTAGTCTCGCTAAAACTCGAGAACGGCTGAACCGATTTGGCTAATTTTGGTCTTGAATTATTTGTGGAAGTCCAGAGAAGGTTTAAAAGGTGAATAAATATGAAAATGCTTGGAATTAAATAAAAATAAAAATTTTGTTTTCCTTTTGATTTGTCCCCCGTCGGACGGATTCCTTTTGTTTGTTTTAAGTTTATTTTATACAGAAGCTTAGGTCTTTTATTTATTGATTGAGGCACTACGAAGTCTGCCGGGTCAGTTAGTTGGTAATATAAAGAAAAAAAATTGTAATATGCTGTTTCTTCTATCAAAACTGAAATTATTTTGAAACATCATTGTAGGGGCCGATGAAAAAATTGTGTGTAATACTGTACATGTGAATATGTACTACACTGTACATAGATAGGTGCAGTTAAATATGAACAAACTATAAACATTTCTGTAGGGACATCTGTTCACAACTATGAAACTGAACAAACAAGAATAGATATTATCTTATTGTTAATTGTATTCTCTTCGGTTTTCGAAGTTGTAGTCATAATGAAAACTACTTTTTAGAGTTTATATTTCATCCCATATCATCTCATTTCTAGTCTCAGTCTATGGGTTCCAGTAACCACTACATTTCAGGTAGGTCGTGAGCTCGTCAACGCATCTTGGTAATAAAACAAAATGGTACATGAAGGAAGTTGCGAAAGGAACAACGGGTTTCAAAGAATAACCAAAAACAAGTATTTTTTTTATAAATTCATTTATTGCTGCTCATTCTCATTGGTTCGTGGTCGAAACTTTATATTATAACTTAGAAAGCCTTTATACCCCAAGCGTAATGTTCGGGACTTCCGATTACTCTGCCGTTGTATCCCCAGGCCATGCGGTGACCCGAGGGGTCAACCGTCCTCGACAGTGTCAAAGCCTTGCTGTATTCACGGTTGTAGATGTAGAACAAGACGTCATTGTCGTAATTAGCGGGCTGCAGGTACCACTGGGCTCTGAAACTATCGACGCTGTTGACTCCGAAGGCCATATGGTCGCCGTTCCAGTTAGTGCCGACTCCCAATACCAAGTATTGGTTACGTTCAGTGTTCAAGATCTTGAAGTAGACCTTGTTGTTCTCCCACAGAGCAATGAATTTCCAGCTGACTCTCGGGCTTGTCTTGTCCTTGCCGTCGCCGTAGGCACGTCTGCCATCGTTGCCTTGAACATCATTGCTCAGCGTCAAAGCGAGACCGTCGCGCTTGTACATAAGCTTAATCGCGTTTTCGGCGAAGATAAGTCTGAACTCAACTGGGAAACAATCCCGGACGATTTCCTTGGAGCCCTGGAGCCAAAGTTGATAGGCGTACTCCATGCAGTTCATCTTGTTGTTTCGTATCAATTTGTTCACTACATTTGAGATGACTTCGCACTTACTCTCCTCGTATAAATGCTTGCTCTTTTCAACCGCATTGTCGTAATCGCCAACGACGACGCTATTGTAAAGCTGCTCCTCCAGAATGTCGTTAGGGACGTCGGAATCTGCAGCATACAGAGATGCCACGAAGAGACATAGAATAACTATAACGGGCTTCATCTTTGGAGCGTCGAGTCCTGAAATATGTAAAATTATTTGTTAAGGAATAAAAAATATTAAAAAAGTCAGCGGAGTGATGAAAAAAATGCCAGAGGTCGAAATATCGGCCAATTGCTTTCTCAAACTCTTGAAGAATTGATGAAAAAAATATTTTGAAAAACGTTTTTGTGTGGTAAGTAGGTATCTCAAGACGTAGACTCCCGACAAGTATTGGAAGAAGAGCAGCACCTCGGTCTCCCTCTTCTTCCTTGGAGGCGCCGAAGTCTGACATAACCCGGTCTGTTACCCCTCACGACTGGGTATCCGAAACGGATTCTCCAGAGTTAAAAACAAAATGTATCTCACCTGTGCGTTACCCAGAACGAACTGCCTGTTTCCTTTGAAAATCTGCCTTTTATACTCGAAATTGTTTCGAATTAAAAAACGTCAGATGCAATATCAACATCATAGTTCAAATGTCAAATGAAAGTGCATTGAAATAAAGATATCGTTTATTATTGATTGAGTGAAATTATCAAGCCGTCAACATTATAATTTAAATGTGTAATTTTAATGGACACATTTAAAAATTCACATTGTTCGTGGTAGTTTAAAACATGCCATGTGAAAGGTATATTTGTTTTGCTAATATTAATATTTTCGTATGGATTCGCACGGTTAGGTACCACCACCTTGCCTATTTCTGCCGTGAAGCAGTAATACGTTTCGGTTTGAAGGGTGGGGCAGCTGTTGTATCTATACTAAAACCCGGATGAGGTAAGGGGGCTACCGCGGTCAACACAACTACCAGACGGCGCAGCTCACTCAAGGACGCCCGGCCGACGGAGCCTTCGAGGCGAATCGAAGGATCTGAAACGTCGGCCGCCTCGGTACGGTAGCCCATCAGGCCGCCCAGATGGTGCCACTGGTGTCCCGGAATACCCCGCTGAATCAGAACCATCCTGCCGGGTCGGGACGCGATACACCGCCATACGGTTGCTCTTTATATCATGAAGATGTTACTCCTTGGCAGCGCGCTAGAGTGCTGGTAGCGCGCCGCGCGGCCTCAGCCCCCTCAGGTTGCTCCTTGACCTTGACCGGGGGGAGGGGGGGTCTCTACGATGCTGTCCCGGACTTTTTTACAACTTTTAAAGGAGAAAAATTCTGTCATACATTATTTTAGTGAAACTCAAGGTGGGTGGCGCATTTACGTTGTAGATGTCTATGGGCTCCAGGAACCATAACACGAGGTGGGTTGTGAGCTCGTCTACCCATCTAAGCAATAAATAAATAAAAAACTTTTACCGTTTCCGCAGCGGCGCTCTCAAAAGGGAAAAAGACTCGAATGGTCTTAGCTTGATGTTATATATATAGCCTATAGCCTTCCTCAATGAATGGACTATCTAACACGGAAAGAATTTTTCAAATCTGATCAGTAGTTCCTGAGATTAGCGCGTTCTAACAAACAAACTATTCAGCTTTGTAATATTAGTATAGATTTATGTATAGTGGTTAAGAAGTTGAATTTGCACCTGTAAGTACAACCATTCAATCTATCTGTGAAAGAAATCACCAATGCCTCTAGTATTTTCCCGTGGAATATCAATATCACTATAATTTTATTATTAAGAAGCGGCCCGCTCCGGCTCCGCTTGGGTCTTTAACAAAAATTTCAACGATATTTGACGTAGTTTTATTTATTTAAATAAAAGAACACTTATTGCGGCATAACTATAATACCTATAGTTAGACTTATGCTGTCGTGACACTTTTTGTAAATAAGAATGTTTCCTACAAAATCGTAGTACATTATTTTATTATATCATCAATAGTTTTCACAGGGCACGCGATGTAAAGAATATTGTAGGTAATTTTTTTACACCTTGGGTTACATTATTGGAGTTTTAGCAAGGAGCTCTAATTTTTTTCAAAAAAGATTATAGCCAATAGTGCAGCTTCCAAACAGTGAAAGAATTTTTCAAATCGGTTCAGTAGTTTCAGAGCCTATTCAATACAAACAAACAAACAACGGTGCGTTATCCGAGATAATTTTCGTCACTTAACATCACACACTGGAACGAACATCTCTTTAGGTTAATTTTCAAGTACTATTTGTCCTTTTGGTTCGAAACTAGGTTTAAACATAATCCTTAATGGTAGGCAATAACTTGGCTGAACTCTTAGCATTTCCTTTGTCCACGAGTGACAGTGAATCACTATCAGATGTATGTCGGCGTGCCTACGGAGGCAATAACTATTACGAAAAAGAAATAACTTCCTCAACTTAGACAGGCAAGCATTAAATACAATTTGATAGTGCAACATATGCATCTCACTGGTGGTAGGACCTCTTGGGAGTCCGCACGTGTAGGTACCACCACCCCGCCTATTTCCGCCGTGAAGCAGTAATGCGTTTCGGTTCGAAGGGTGGGGCAGCCGTTGTAACTATACTAAGACCTTAGAACTTATATCTCAAGATGGGTGGCGCATTTACGTTGTAGATGTCTATGGGCCCCAGTAACCCCTTAACATCAGGTGGGCTGTGAGCTCGCCCACACACCTAAGCAATAAAAAAAAAATCGAATCGAAGTTTCAATTTTGTTTCATACTGGTTGTCCCACGTTCAAAGCGAGAACGAGCCATTGTTTCTCACCAAAAATAGGCATCCGTAACGGTATATGTGTCGTAGCAGGGAGGGGTCGCAAGTCCGTGATTTTTAACATTAATCTGTTCCATAAAACAAGACAGAACCCGTGTTTTAAATTCCGAAAATTGCCTTCTTTAATACTGAATCCTAAAAATGATAACTTTTTATATTCTATGATAAGCACATATGAAACAAACAATTGATAAGCAGTGCAGAGGTGAAGAGTATTCCCGATGTCGCCCTTTTTAATTACAATATTATTGTTCAAGTATCGAATTACTGCATTTCAGAGCATTTTCCTTAATTGGGTTTTTCAAGACGCAGTGCGATAAATAGAGGCAAAGGTGAAAGATATTACAATAAAATGTGAGGCTATAAATTTATGATTTACTAGCTTTTGGCCGCGGTGTCGCCCGTGGAATAAATTTCTTTGCCGAAATGTAATTTTATCTAGATGCATTTAGCGAATTAAGCTTCTTCCTAGCGTTTTCAGCCAACCAAACAAGCCGGTTTTCGAAAAGGCTTTAATACCGTACACCACATTCATCCGCTGCGGCTGTTTGTACAAAAGACCAAGGAATATTTTTACTGGTGGTAGGACCTGTTGTGAGTCCGCGCGGGTAGGTACCACCGCCCTGCCTATTTCTGCCGTGAAGCAGTAATGCGTTTCGGTTTGAAGGGTGGGGCAGCCGTTGTAACTATACTGAAACCTTACAACTTATATCTCAAGGTGGGTGGCGCAGTTACGTTGTAGATGTCTATGGGCTCCAGTAACCACTTAACACCAGGTGGACTGTGAGCTCGTTCACCCATCTAAGCAATAAAAAAAAAACAAAAAGAATATAACCTGCCGCTGTGCTTAGCAGCTGTGGACTACGAGAAAGCCTTTGATTCGATTGAAACCTGGGCCGTGTCGCTGTCTCCTCAACGGTGCCAAATAGATAATCGGTATATCCAAGTGTTGAAATGTTTGTATGAAAACGCTACGATGTCAGTTCAATTACAGGACCGGGCTTCGGAACCCATCCTTCTGAAGCGTGGCTTGAAGCAAGCAAATGTTATTTCTCCGAAGCTATTAACCGCTGCATTGGAGGATGTTCTCAAAGTTCTGGACTGGAAAGGGCTAGGTATTAACATCAACGGCAAGTACATAACTAACCTTTGGTTCGCCGACGATGTCGTAATTATGACAGAGACCTTGGAGGACTTCAGTACAATACTCAGTGACCTCAGTAGAGCTTCTATCCGAGTGGGCCTGAATATGAATATGGAAAAAATAAAGATTATGTTGAATGCTCATGTAGCGCCCACTCCAGTAAAGATCGGACGCTCTACGCTCGAAGTTCTTGATGAGTATATTTAGCTGGGATAATCTGTCCAGCTACGTAACTCCACCTTCGAAAAAGAGGTCCATCATCGAATCCAGCTCAGATCAGATGGGCAGCGTTCGGAAAGCTACCTTAAATCTTCTCATCACAAGTAGCAGTGTCTTAAGATGAAAAGTCTTTGAAAAGTAGGTATGTGTTGCCAGTGATGACATAATGGCACTGAGACGTGTTCGCTCACAATGGGCCTTACCAGAAATCTCAATGTCACCCAAAGAGCAATGAAGAGGGCTATGCTCGAACTTTTCCTGCGTGGTCAAATCAGAAATGAGAAGATTCGCAGGAAAACCATGGTAACCGACATAGCCCAAAGGATTGCCACGTTGAAGTGGCAGTGGGCAGGGCACATTGCTCGTAGAACAGATAGCCGTTGGGGCGAAAAGTCCTTGAGTGGCGACCGCGTACTGGAAGACGTAGCGTGGCTAGGCGTCCCACAAGATGGACCGACGAACTATTAAGGTTCGCGAGAATCCACTGGACGCAAGCAGTGCAAGACCGATTGTGGCGAGACTTGGAATAGGTATATGTCCAGCAGTGGACGTCTGTGGGCTGATAGAATAGAAAACGCAGATCGGCAATCCTTAAATTTATTTAAAATAATGAAGCTAAATTACATTAATACTCCGCTTTAACTAAATTCCGGTAATGAGCGTAATGACCATAGCGCGGTCTAAATCGACACCAACGCTGTCTAGTGAGAAGACCGAAAATCGGAATGAGCGGAGCTTAATAATCCTATCAAATTAAACTAACATTACATTTTAAATTTAAATTCCAGAGAAACGCAGTACCGGAAATATGGTGCGTTATTTGCTATTGATTGATAAAGCCCTAGAACTAAACGTGGTAAAATAGGATCGTGGGGTAAAAGGCTCTTTGGTTTAAGCGAAATTTTTGCAACTTAACAGTTGGGCCATTTAAAGTTTAATCGAATCGGAAAAGTATCATGACACAAAAACTTCTTTAGCCATTTGAATGGGTTAAACTTAATTAAAGTTCGATTAAAAACATCGAATTGATTATAGTAATCTTATATGTACATATAAAAATGAATCCCTGTTTCCCTTAGTCACGCCATCACGCATGAATAGCTAGCTGGACTTGCCCACTGAGTTTTTCGCCAGATCTTCTCAGTGGGTCGCGTTTCCGGCCCGGTGGTAGATTCTGCGAAGCACTGCTCTGTCTAAGGCCAGTGTAAACAACACCTCCGGTTTGAGACCCGAGAGCTCACCTACGCTAGGATAACGCTGATATAGCCTCTCAAGACCATCAGCATAAATAGGGAAAAAGGCTGGACTGATTTCGCTAATAATAATAAAAGAAAAAAATATGAAAATTGCGCGGAAAATTAGAAAATGTAAGAATACTTAACCACCATATTAAATTTTCTAATGATTTTCAATTCTAACCTTATGGCGTTTGACATAACAGTGAAAGAACGCGTGCTGCAAATATCGTCAAAGAGAATGTAAAAAAACGGAATATCACAGTTCACAGCAAATCGTTCCTATTGGACCAATGGACGCCGCAAAAGTGTTCGACAAAGTCTGGCACAACAGTTTGATTTTCAAACTATTCAACGTGGGTGTGCCGGACAGTCGGCTGTCGAACCGCTCTTTTTGATATCGAGTCGAAGGAACCCGCTCCTCCCCGCGACTGCTGACGACGAGTCCCGTAGGGCTCCGTCCTCTCACCGCTCCAGCTTAGTTTGTTTAACAACAACATTCCCCTATCGCCGCTGACCCAATTAGCCTTATTGGCTGCCGACACAACCTTTACTACTCGAGTAAGAACAAGTGCCTTGTCGCGAGTAAACTCCAGAGCGCTGCCATAATCCTCGGACAGTAGTGCTATTTCAAAGGGGAAACTCTACACAGATATCCTTCCGATCGCTCTCTTCGGCCAACCTATTCCCTGGGCCAGGAAGGTCAAATACCTGGAAGTCACCCTGGATGCATCCATAACATATCGCCCGCATATTAAAACAGTCTCCGACCGTGCCGCGTTTATTCTCGGCAGACTTTACCCCATGATATGTAAGCGGAGTAAAATGTCCCTTCGGAAAAAGGTGCCCCTTTTCGACCCGTCATGACTTACGCGAGTGTGGTGTTCGCTCACGCGGCCCGCACACACATAGATACCCTCCACTCCCTACACAAACATATTCACAAGCTTTCACACCTAGAATTATTGTAATATACTCGTAATTGACACGACGGGATTTCGTGATTACGCACCAGTAAGCAATAAAAGGCTCTTGGTATTCAAATACTACATATACATAAACAATTACAGAAATTTAAATTAGTGTAACAATTGATCGCCTCTTCATTAAAGTCCTTAATAATTCCTGACCACTGAACTGCTGGGTCCGGTTGCGGTTCTTTCTCCGTTGAACTGGGCGTTCTCGTTAGACATATGTGTTTAATGTTTAGGGCCTTAAGGTAAACCTTATCTTTGCAACGCAAAAGAAAATATATATATGGTAAAGTGAAACGGTTTGATTGTTTAAAAAATACGGTAGAAATAGATTATTCCAAATTAAAATACACCTTCCAAGAAATTTAACTACATAAGTATACAAGAAACACTATAGAAGACGCTCAGAGAACCGAAGTCCCTTTAGTGGCTGGAATACATCGCAATCCGAATGCCCCCACCTATCTTGAAACATAGATTTTAAACTTCAATAGGCTTACCGCGGTTCCAAGCCTCCAAACTGGAAAGCGTACCTGCTTTGCGGGAGAAAGAGGAAAAGAGACATCACCTCGCAAAAGCGAGCTTAAGACGACCACCAGTGATTAAGCAAATTATAAATTTGCGTGTTTGTTTTTTGATCACACAATATTATTATTTCATGGTGGAAGTCATTTTTAAATATGCTTTATGCATAAGATTACAAAATAAAATACGCAAGCAAGCTGGTCGTCTTACCCTTTAGACCACAGCCACATTAAACATATCTAACGTTTTAAATAATAATAATAATAATAATTTATTTATTTCTCTCTTAAAAGTATAGTACAAATTCAAATGGAAATTAACCTTGTAATTTATTTGGTAAGCCTTTGAAAGAGCTGAAGTCTGTACTAGGTTCAAAGACCTATATTACTGATTAGGTTAGGTTAAATCGAGAACAGATGCTGCGGACTAGTCCTAAGTGTTGAGAGATCATTAGGTGTTATCATTTAAGAAGGTCATTATTCGTGTGTGTGTGTGTGTGTGTATGTATGTGTGGTGTGTGTGTGAGTGTGTGTATATGAGGGCGTGTGGGCGCATGCATGTTGTATTGTGTATGTGTGAGTATCTGCATCTATGTGTGTGTTTTTATTACTATTACATAGGTATAACTAATTAATTGATTAATTGGGCTCTAAAACAAAAAAGCAGATTACTTCACAGTCTGGAGTAAGTTCTCTGTTTGCTCGTAGTCTAGATCGTGAAGCCAATTTGTTAGTGCATGTTTGCATTAGGTCTGTGTCATGGGGTATATATTGATCAGCTTATTGATTTTATTGTATATGAAGCTACTTAGGAAGCAATAGGAGCGTTGAGCTAACGATCTAGAAACAAGTATTGTGGGATTTGTGGGACGCACGCCATGCCCGCGCCGCTGACTTACGAGCAATGTCGGATCGTATGGAGTTTTCGAGTGTGTAGTCATAATAAGGTTAAGAATAAATAATTTACGGACAGAAAGGACTCTACAGGCTTTGTAAAGATCATTTGTAGGCAACCTATAAGTGAGCCGCCATCCAACTTTCAAAATACATCTCTGAGCACGTTTCGTCAAACGGGGTTAATAGGAATCGAGGGGTGAATGGGGATAAAATTGGGATTGAAATGTTCGTATCATAGACCTATATAGTAGGGACACGACATATTGTTCTATACGTACAATTGCTTATATAAATAGCACCCATTTTGAAGGCACACACATAAACATATATCGATCTCGTTCTTACTCAGCACTTTAACTCGCAGGAAAAGAATATAACAGTATTTCAGTGCGTACATAAAATGAAACATGAATATACGTAAATGTCTCCGTCNGTACATACTTGTTGAACGTCAAAAGAGCTACCGCCAATTCACAAAAACTAGCCTCCGTCCTGAGAAGAAATGGCAAGAAACTCAGCGGGCATGTCTTTTTTTTTAAATATTAGATAATAAAAAAAATTATTAGTTTTTTTTTTAAATATTCTTTTTTACAATGAGTATTATAACGTAACAATTGTTACAATATTGAAATGCCCGGAGCGAGCAACTCATTCTCACTTTGTGCAATCTTCTAGTCTTAACACGAGGAGACAGAGAAAAAGTGACGTACTTAGTTTTATTCACGTTCAGTGCCAGTAGATTTTCAGACAGCCAGTCAGTTACGGTGTTCAGGCCACATTGAGCAAAACTAAAAGCTGCTTCCCAAGAACTGCCGGAAATACGAGAGCAGTATCGTCAGCATAGGTGCAATAATAAGTAATGCGGATGTCAGTTATTGAAAGATATGTATCTATTGTATCAGAATCAATGTGCGTCAGGATATCATTTCTTTATTTAAAAAATATACATTAATTATTAGATGGAAATACCTAAGTTAATGTTGGCTTATAAATAAAAGAAAAGAAAAAAATCAAAAAAACTTAAGAGCGATCATTTATTTCATTATTCATAAGCATGAAGCGTTACCTCTGATTGTCTAGAAAGGTGTAACGAACCAGGAGAAGATGTCAGGGAGACCAGCTACTTCACCATCGTGTCCAAATGCCATACGGTCTCCCGAAGCGTCCACAATCCTACCGAGCTTCAAAGCATCATTGTACTCGCGATTGTAGATAAAAAACAGGACGTCGTTTTCGTACTTCGCGGGCTGGAGGAACCACTGCTCCCTGGTGGTGTCGGCGGTGTTGGTGCCGTATATAACACGGTCCTGAGTATTGCAGTCAGTTATCGAACTTAGTTTCAAGTACTGGTTGTACTTAGTGTTGTGGATCTTGAAGTACACTCTGTTGTTCTCCCACAAGCTAATGAACTTCCAACTGATGAGGTCGCTGTTCTTTTCCTTACCATCGCCGTATGCAAGTCTCTCGTTCGCGGGATCAAGAATGGGGCCAAGCTTCAGAGCGAGGTTGTAGTTTCTGTAAATGAGTTTAACGAAGTTTCCTCCCATGATGAGTCTAAAGTTATAGGGGAAGTACTTTCTGACAATGTGCTCTCCGTTGCCGACCCACAGCTTGTAGCAGTACTCCATGGTGTTCCGACTCTTGTCAATGATCAGTCTATCAACTACATTCTGGATGATGGAGCCCTTGCCTTGGTTCTCGTATTCCAAGCTCTGACGGACAGCGCTGTCGTAGTCACCGGTGATGATGCTGTTGTACAGTTTTTCCTCGAGTTCTTTGTTAGAACTGCTCATGCTTTCCGCGGACATTTCAGTGACGCCGGCGCTGACGACGAGCACGCACGACGCGAACACCACGAGAAATTTCATTATGACAGTTGCCTGTAACATAAAGCAAAGTTCTTTGTACAAATGGTATTTATTATTTGTCAATGTTAGTAATAACAAAAAAATTGGTATTCTTTTTTAAATAAACTAAATGATTTTTTCGGTCCACCAACCAGTGTTGGTGTGCCTGTCACATTTATGTCAGCTCGATAGTTGTGCTGACGATTAAAAGGAATATAGACCTTTTTTTTAAAAAGATCCAAATTTAAAATTCATGTTTCGAAATTTGTTACGCCATTTATATATATATATTTTTTTCCTACCTAAGCTGGTAGCCTAGAGAGGCTATTCCAGCGTAACCGTAACTAGTGTCGCCATTTATATTGAACTCGTCGGGTCATTCTTCCGAAACATATCGTCAGGGGTGCCATTTAAACATTTCTAACAATCTATGCCTGTTTAAAAATGAGTTTTAAATGTAGTCCAGGTAGAGGATCTCCCCGAGACCCGTACCATGCCCTGGTCAGGGGACATGAGGATCCAATATCATGGTAAAATTAACGTTAACCCGTTTGTCTGCGTTTACAAGTGAATTATGGGTTGTGTCCAGGGTATCCCGAATCACAAAGATCTTTTTTTATTGCTTAGATGTCAGGACGAGCTCACAGCTCACCTGGTGCTAAGTGGTTACCGGAGCCCATAGACATTTACAGCGTAAATGCCGCCACCCAGCTTGAGATATGAGTTCTAAGGTCTCAGTATAGTTACAAGGCTGCCCCACCCTTCAAACCGAAACGCATTACTGCTTCATGGCAGAAATAGGTATGGTGGTGGTACCTACCCGTGCGGACTCACAAGAGGTCCTACCACCAGTACCAGTGCACATCAAGCATCTTTATCATTGGTAATTGAAGGCAGCGCCAGATTAAACTATTACAGTTGTAATTTATGTGGTAATGTTCAGTTAAATATAACATAAGTCTTACCTTTTCCGATCGCTTTCAAGTCTGCAATGCTTTGCTGCTTGCTGCACTTGGGTCTTATATACTCTGTCGGGTACTTGAAACCTCGCCCTTATCATAGCTATAGGTCGTAAGTCAGACTGGTCAATCACTTATTATGTTATTGTTTTCTTGAATTCAAAAGTAATAATTTATCTAGAATGTTAAAAGAGCATGTTCTGTTTAATAAAGTTGTTACAATGACATGTGTATGTTTATCTGATTTTATCGACAGTTCGAGTTACATTTTAGTGTTTTATTTGCTATATACATACCGGTTTTTTTTTTGGTCAGGATGAAATCGCCGGACTTCCGCCCTTTTCTGGGGATACTGGGCGGGGTATGTCAGAGTCGAACTGACTAAAACCTCCTGTCGCTCAACAACCAACGTCCAAACCTCGCATGAGACAGAACTCATGACAAGGCAAAGGGGGGAAAGTGAAGCGTTTAGTGCGGAACACATCTCTTCCATCACTCTCCCCCTCGGGACGCCGGACTGGCTGGCGGTCGTCGGCGCCACGACCACCAGCCCTCTCGGTCGGCAGACTGTCCGAAGCCCGCCTACATGGCGCCGTTTAAAGTGGGTATACATACCGGTGTTCTATTTTTATTATGTAAGTTTGAACAACAACATAGTCGCACAGTTTGAAAATTTTTTTGACATGTAAATACATAATATGTACATCATGCCCATACTCTGACGGCGGTGGGCTATGAAAATCGCGACGATCCCACTGAGAAGATTTGGCTAAAAATTCAGCTGATTGATGTTATATAGACTAGGTTTTACGTCCAACTTTTCGATAAGTTCGACTGGTACTCAGTCTATGTGTAATGCCTGCTCCTAGTGTTAGAATCAGAGCTTGATACGAATACACCGGCATGTTATCATTTAGCCCCGATGAGTTCTAAACGAATGGCAGTTAAACAATACAAGGTCGTTGACGGTATTCACATGTAATTTTGTGTTTGCTTAAAGACTCTGTCCATTTATCAGATGGGTAGTGTGCTCCATGGAATTAGGATACCGGACCACAAAATTCCTTTACGGTAACATAATTTAGTTGGTTTTGTTTTTAGTTAAACACATTATTCCTTCATCGTGGAAGTCATTCGTGAACAGGCTAAGGAACTTTGTATTGCATAGTCGCNTGACGGTATTCACATGTAATTTTGTGTTTGCTTAAAGACTCTGTCCATTTATCAGATGGGTAGTGTGCTCCATGGAATTAGGATACCGGACCACAAAATTCCTTTACGGTAACATAATTTAGTTGGTTTTGTTTTTAGTTAAACACATTATTCCTTCATCGTGGAAGTCATTCGTGAACAGGCTAAGGAACTTTGTATTGCATAGTCGCTTCAACCAGTGTGCTTAGTGCGAGTTTTTTAATTTCTCGTTCGCGAAAAAGTTTACAAAAAACCAGGGTCTTTGCTCCTGTCAGCGATGTCCTCGCCTTTTGAATGGTGATACCGAGATTTACCGCGTGAATTTTCTATCGTGCCTAAGCCAGAATGACGCGATATGTCAGGCCTCGCTCCATGGCTTCCAACTCAGTTTTAGGACAGCCTACAAGCGCGGTGGCTGGAGCTACCTCTTTTTTTTGTCTTCACTGGAACCGTATTCCTTCCTGCGGTGATTGAGGCCATTAAAGCCGTTTTCTGTTCCGCCCTCAGCCTCGCTCCTCTGCGGCGCGATTGTGGACCAGCTGACCGTGTGGGCTACGGGGGCATGGGGGAATGTGCGCGGCTCGAACGGAGCCGGTGCTGCTGTCTTCTTTCCCTTTTTAAGGGGCTTTGTCGACGTCGCCCAAAACACGTCATTACTGATCCTCCCGATCCATTAACGGTGCTTTTAGGCACCACAAGCACCGGTCGCTGTCCTCGTCAAACCCGTCGCTTACGACGAAGGGCTTGACGAGCGAATGAACCCATAGACACAGCCCACTAAGTTTCTCGCCGGATCTTCTCAGCGGGTCGCGTTTCCGATCCGGTGCTAGTTTCTGCGAAGCACTGCTTTTGCTAGGGCCAGTGTTAGCAACACTCCGGTTTGAGTCCCGTGAGCTCACGTACACGTTAGGGCGAAGCTGATGTAGCCTCTCAAGGCTATCAGCATAGGTAGGAAAAAAAGGGGCTTCGTCTTCTTGCCGACCTCGGGCGTCGAGAGACCTCCCGACGAGATCGGGAGCGTTCGATTCCGTCTCTTCGCTTCTCCTCGCGTTCGATGCCAGAGATGATCGAAGTCGCGGTTCTAGGAGGAATCGGGCCTCCAGGTTTGCTAGTCGAGCATCAATAATTGAACCGACAACCCAAATGATACGCTGCAGACGTCGCCCCGTCTCTTCCTTGTTCGCTAGGACGGGCGCGGGGCGCGGAGGAAAACATGTTGCGCCGACCCCAGGTGACTAGGAGAAGAGTAGGAGAATGATGATGGGTAAGCGCCCTCACGGCTCGCCCAGTCTTCATAATGAGGCAAAGGTATATTTTTATACAGTAAACTCCATATAATGTTTAATTAATTTACTCGTACTTTTAAAATAAAGAAAATAGAACTTCTCTAAAATTACTTAAATTCACATTCATTCAACGTAAACACATTTCATGAGTTAAATAAATAAAGGTTTTTTTGGTTTTTTAAATCGTACACAGGATTTTTTTAAATAAATTTTCGTTATCTGTATTTTATTTTTATTTTTTGGCACAGTAGGTTTTTTTTATTGCTTAGATGGGTGGACGAGCTCACAGCCCACCTGATGTTAAGTGGTTACTGGAGCCCATAGACATCTACAACGTAAATGCGCCACCCACCTTGAAATATAAGTTCTAAGGTCTCAGTATAGTTACAACGGCTGCCCTACCCTTCAAACCGAAACGCATTACTGCTTCACGGCAGAAAAAGGCAGGGTGGTGGTACCTACCCGCGCGGACTCACAGGAGGTCCTACCACCAGTAATTACGCAAATTATAATGTTGCGGGTTTTTATGCATTTGTTCCTTTTACGGAGCAGATAGCAAGATAATGATTATTCTTCAAAATAGGGTATGTAATAGTTTAAACCCTGAAAAAGAACATAAGCTTGTCGGAGACGGTCATCAGTTTGTTAGCTAAATGAAACGCAGCACGATTGCGGTATCGTCGGAACTCGGCTAACTTCGTGCTACGACAGAGCCTAGCCGATGGAGGCGCGTAGACGCCATCACACTTACCAACCAGCCTTCTTGAAGAGCGGTGCCTCCGTCCTAAGAACTGTCATAGGGTTCGTCTGCTAAGCTCGATCACCCTATTCGCCCCTATGATGTCTGACGGTGGTGTTAATAATTATGGCTTCTCCACTTATACGGTTGGTTCTACAGACGACTGAGCCAGCAATAATAAAACACTAAATTATTCGAATAGTCTGAAATGATTTAGTGACAATAAAAACAGGACTTTACTTTGACGGCAAATCAGTTTTAATTAAACACAATATGCTTACTTTCATCTCGCTACCCGAACATGGGTCTCAGCCCACGTGATGTGAAGTGTAGTCCCCGCAAATGAAGCTACGATCGGAAAAGGAAGCTTACCAATGCCTTTCTTGATTTCGGTAATTGCCGGTGTTCGCAACAAGACCTAAACGTGCTTCCTTAAAACCTACTTTAAATAAAAAGGAGAAGGTTAAAAATTAAACGATCATTTTTGTGTGTTACCTCAGAAAAAATTTCTAGGTGAACCGATTTTGATAATTATTTGTCTATTTAAAAGCTGGTGTTTCATAAGATCTCTTGAAATATCCTGAATGATGCTTAAATGAAATAGACTTCGGCTACATTCATGATATACTCGTTTTATAACTTGTCGATGTAGAATATAATATTTAAAAAAACTGAGTGAGGGGCGGCATTCAAGAGCATCGTAGAACACGTCCTTACGGATCCATCAGATCCAATAACCTTTGCATTAGATGCCTTCAGCTCTAATACTAGGAGCAGGCTTCGGGACCCGAACTCGACAAAGAGGTCGACGTGCAACAGCCCGCTGAGTTTCTCGCCGGATCTTCTCAGCGGGTCGCGATTCCGATCCGGTAGTAGATTCATTCGCGAAGCAATTGCTCTTGAGTTGTTAGGTCTCCTTCGAAGGCGCTCGGGCAGCTGTTAGAAAATCCCACCCGTCCTGGCTGAACCTTTGCTCGCCCACCTGTCCTGGTGAAACTGGAAAGGCCTTCGGGCCACCAGTAGTGTCTCAATCATAAAAAAAAGCATCGTAGAACACATTTCGTAAACAATAAAATGCATATCTATGAATTGTTTTGATACAATTTTGACTTCATTTTTTTTGTATTTTTTTTTTGTTTTAGTTTTCCTTTTTCGTTAATTTTTGACGTGACGACGTCTTATAATTCGATGGAGCCGGCTGCACGCACGAAAAAACATGACTCATGCGGCGTTACCTCGCTCTGAGGCGTACACGTTTTCGTCAAGTATGAAGTTCAGTGAAAAGTGAATGGGGTGTCAATTGTTTATAGCAACGATAATTGCGATAATTGAAAAATGAAACCATTCCGTCAGTATTTTCTTATGACGTTGTCACGTTCAACTATCGTCAGTAAACCGTTTTTTACAGACAACCGTTTTTTTTTCTTTTACGTTTACAAGTTTTGACTTTAAATCAAAAGCAACACATTCTGATGGTCGTTTATCAAGAAGATTTCATGCGTTCAAAGTTTAGGGTGTAATCTGCATGGGCACACAGGTTTTTGTCGTGTCAGCCGCTCTTTTTTTCCGAGCTATTTCCTGTTAGCCCAAGTGGCTATTCCAGCTGCGCCCGAACGGTTACGTGAGAACCTGACAGAATTTGTTAACACCAGCCTTAGCAAGAGCTGTGCTTCGCAGAATCTACCAAAGGATCGGAATCGCTACCCACTGAGAAGATCCGGCGAGAAACTCTATGGGCACTCAGCCGCTAAATAAACTGCATAATATTGGAAGTTTTCACCTTTTTCATCTATCGATTCACCTAAATTTCGTAATTCTCGAATGAGATCTACAAATTCTCTGCAATCTGCAAATTCCACGACCGGGAGCAAACACTTGGCGTCCGCATCAACGGTACTCTTAGTTGAAAAATTAGTTTACCTTTAAAAGTACTTTTTAATCTTCTAATTTATAACGATAATATTGATGGGAGTCAGACAGAACGCAACTTAAACGAAGCCGCCGTACTAAGTGCCGGCACACGAGTTTCTCGTAAATATAGTAATGTGAGTACCTACATCAGTAATAGCCCACTGGGTTTCTTCGCCGGATCTTCTCAGTGGGTCGCGTTTCCGATCCGCTGGTGAATTCTGCGAAGCACTGCTCTTGCCAGGGCCAGTGTTAGCAACACTTCCGGTTTGAACCTCGAGTAGTCACCTACACGCTAGGGCAACGCTGAAATAGCCCCTCAAGGAATCAGCATAGGTAGGAAAAAAAATCAGTGTTGTTCTTGTTTCGTATCTGTGTGTTTCATACATACATAACACAAAGGACCATTCTAGCTTAGGAATGTTCCGAGCCTCTCCAATTCGGACTCGTCTCCCGCCATCACTACTATCCCAGCGCATATACCTACCAGCCAGAAAATACTACAGCGCTGCTTTGTAAGGCAGGGAGCTCGCAGTATCGGCAAAAGGAATGGCCCCGTGGCCGGTCCCGTGCCCTCCAGAGTCACGACAACGTGACGATATATTTGCATTGTTAATAGTACCAAAAATGATCCAGCACGGATAGGTGCCGGTTGATCGATATTGACCGCAACTTGACCCTTTATTTAGATCCAATATGATCGTGCTATGATCATAGCAGTTTTATACTTACATACAACATTATTTTTAATATGCACTTACATGTATTGTATCTATACTAACATTATAAAGATTAATGAATGAATTTGTTTGTTTGTTTGTGCGCGCTAATCTCAGGAACTACTGGTCCGATTTGAAAAATTATTTCACAGTTAGTTAGCTCAATTATTAAGGAAGGCTATAGGCTATATAACATCAGGCTAAGACTAAGATGTTTCTTCCCTTTTGAGAGCTTCCGCTGCGTGCGCTGCGGAAACGGTTAAAATTTCACTAAAATAATGTATGACAGAATTGTTCCCATTCTAAAAGTGGATTCTCCAAGGTCCCATCAGATAATGATCCTGATGATTACAGGACCATTCGGGAAATCTCCCCTTTCGAACAAAAAAAAGATTTTTTTTATCAGAATCGGCTCAACCATTCTCGAGAAATCGGTGAACATACATAGTTAAAAAATGGTGGTCGAATTGATAGCCTCGGTTTGATGAAATTGAAGTCGGTTAAAAAACGTGATTTTAGGTACATTTACTATTAGCTCCTTAGCATTCTATTATCCAAAAATATGTTGACCTTCTACGTAAATGAAGCAACTAAAATGATCGAAGGGTAAAATTTAACGTTTTCCCAAAGTAACTTCCACGCGGACAAAGTCGCGGGCAAAAGCTAGTTATAACGATCAAAGTGATATGTTCAATGAGAAAACAAAAAAATCGTTTTCAGCTTCAGCTTTATTCGTGTTAATTTGGTTTTCAACATATTAATCGGCAGAACCTTTTACAACAACGCTTAGTAGGGGACGATGTACCATGCAAAAAGTTGAGGATAACCGGAAACTTCTCCGCTGTGCCCCAAGGCTTCACGGTCTTCGTTGGCGGCCATATCTTCATGAAGTGTCATAACACTGTTGTACTCTCGGTTGTAGACGAAGAACATGACGTCGTTCTCGTACATGGAGGGCTCAAGGTACCAGTGGTGTTTGAAGGTGTCAGCGGTGCTATCACCGTAGATGATACGGTCATCACTAGAACCTTTCGTGTTATCGAGCTTCAGGTACTGTTTGTCTTCGGTGGACATGATCTTGAAGTATACTCTGTTGTTTTCCAACACGGGGGTAAACTTCCAGGAGACTTTCTTGCTGGTTTTGTCTTTGGAGTCACCGAATGCAAATTTTTTGTGGTTTTGTTGGTCGATCAACTTGAGGGCGTGATGGTCCCTTTTGTTTATGAGCTTGACAGTCTGCTCGGTGAAGATCACTCTAAACTGGATGGGGAAGTAAGATTTGATGATTTCCTTTCCATCCTTTGTCCATAACTGGTAGGCGAAGTCCATGGTGTTCCTCTTGCCGTTTTCGATCAGCCGCTTCACGGCTTCCTTGATAACCTCTCCCTTCTTTTCCTTGAGATATTCAGAGCATTTGGCGATAGCGGTCTCGTATTCACCAAGGACGACACTCATATACAGCTGCTCCGCCAGTACGTCATCAGTTCTTGGTGCAAGTGTGGCGTTAGAAGCCAGCGCACACACGGCGAGGACGAAGGCAAACAAAGTCAGTCTCATCTTGGCGCAGTGGTTATCTGTGAAGTAAATAACATAAACGGCTTGAAACTATTCGAAGTCTTGTACTTTCGAGTTTACGTGTACATTAAATATAAAAAATCATAATAGAAAATCGAAATTAAAGTTGAAATTATTTCTTTTAAAGGGTTAGATGACCTAATCTAAATTAGATCTAATCTAATTTAGTTTTAAAAGTTTGTTGTTTAATCAAACGAATAGAATCGATATAATAACGGAAATAGAAATTTTAATACTAGAAAAGGAAGAAAAAAAAACTATTCTGTTGGTGTTAATTTGGTTTTCAAAAAGTCACTTAGTAGATGCTCTAACGGAAACCTTTAGCAGGGAATAACAACAACCTGGAAGAAAAGTTTGTGATAGAAAAAATACCAAAGACCGGGCTCAGTAGTATGAATCATGGAGACGTCTATGGCCAACAATGGATGACAATGGGCCGATGATAATGATGATATTTGTAAGGTAGTAAGTACTACTACTGGTGGTAGGACTTCTTGTGAGTCCGCGCAGGTAGGTACCACCGCCCTGCCTAGTTCTGCTGTGAAGCAGTAATGCGTTTCGGTTTGAAGGGCGGGTCAGCCGTTGTAGCTATACTGAGAACTTAGAACTTATATCTCAAGGTGAGTGGCACATTTACGTCGTAGATGTCCATGGGCTCCAGTAACCACTTAGCACCAGGTTAGCTGTGAGCTCGTCCACCCACCTGAGCAATAAAAAAATATAAAATCGTGCCCGATTAATCAAAATTAGACAAAAACTGTTGTATTAATGTAAGCGGCAATTGGGATTTATTGCGAATAAAAATAAACTATTGTTACCTTTGAAAGCAGTCACAACACTGTAGAATCAATATTAACATAGGTCTTATATACTGTATTATATCAGTCCGTTAACCTTTTATCTACGGGTCAAATGAGAAATGTGCATTGTAAATAAATAAAAGATGTCATTTGCAAAGCAACAGATTAATATGAATTTTTATTGATTGATTCCTATGCAGTGACGGATTTGCAGTCTCGGCTGCCATAGGCCCCAAGCCATCAGCCGCCCTTTTCTCAGCATCCACAATATAGACTACATAATGGAATTACTTTATTGCCAACTTTTATCTAAATAGATTTAGAAATTTAATATTATAATAAGTTTTTTGACACGTTTGGGGCCGCCCCTAAGTCTGGCCGCCCTAGGCCCGGGCCTTAGGGTAAATCCGCCACTGTTCCTATGATTGACCGCTGGTTTGTTTTTTACGCGTTCGCACTGAGGTCACTCGATTGTTTTGCAACAGCCGTCATTGGTACGTCTTTATTCAACGATACTGTGCCTTAATCATACAATAAAATTAAAATTACAGGCAGCGGCAGAATAACAGCGATAGTTTCAGCTATCACAATGCTGAGCCGCGGCCTTTTTATCTCCACTGTCAGTATAATTAATATATTGTAATATTGTTTAGATAGAATTAGAAAATTATGTCATATTAATTGAAAAGTTATTTGTATTGTGGAGTAAATAAATGTAATTATTATGATCATTATTATAAGTTCGTGAAGATTTACCGGGTACTTTTAGGAAGAAGTTCGTACCATGCCCAATTTGAGTGCTGAATATCTCGCATATTCGTAATAGTGGTTGTTAACTTTTAAGAATATTAAGAATGCCTACATTCATACCTTTGTAAAATTATTGAAGTGAAAACTTCTTTAGAATCGTTGTGATTTCAAACCGGATGCAACGGAAAAAACGACAGGTAAGAGACACAAATACAAAAATGTGTAGGATGAAGCCAGCAAAGAATGAGACAGAAATATACATACTATTTAATACAGCGCCATCTGTGAGATTTTTTAATACTAACGTGTGTATGAAAGCTCTTGTAGTGAATTTTAATTTAGGATTATACGTGAAATTAAAATATCAATTCACAGAGGGCGCTACCTTACAATTATTTACTAATGACAAAATTTTACATATACTTAAGACGTTTAGGATAATTGTATTTTAATTTTGGAAGGTTTCACTTCTACCACGTGTGAATTGCACACATTTTGTTTTTTTTTTCAAATAGTATCATTGAATATATAATAATGTGCGCGAATAATTTTCAACAATGAATTAAATTTCATGTCACATGGCATGAGTGACATTTAGTTCGAAACTTATGCTTATATCTAAGACAAACTTTCATAAACATTTCTTTAATTGAATTAAACTAAATCTGTGGGTACCTAGCATCGTTCAAAACAAACTGCGTCTGTGCCTATTGCTTCTTAATTATTATTTTTTTCCTACCTAATCTGAGAGCCTTCAGAGGCCATATCAGCGTAACCTTAACTAGTCGGTGAGCTCACGGGGCTCAAACCTGACGACGTTGCTAACACGAACCCTAGCCAGAGCAACCCATGCTTCGCAGAATCTACCACCGGATCAGAAACGCGACACACTGAGAAGATCCGGCGAGAAACTCAGTGGGCTGTGTCTGAGGGTTAATTTACTCGTCGAGCCCTTCGTCGCAAGCGACGGGTTCGACGAGCACGATGACCGGTACTTGAGGTACCTAAAACCACCGTTAGTGGATCGGGTGGACCGGAAATGACGTGTTTCGGGCGACGTCGACTGCTTTCCATTCTGTCCGCAGGATCGGGAATGTAGTTACCGGGGGCCACGATGAGAGGGTTCTCGTGTCGTGCCGCTTTATCGAAGTGGTGCTTCTTAAAACGATAGTGTGTTAATAATTTTGTATATGTTTAGAAGTTACCGTAACAAATCGAAAACTTGCCTCATTGCACCTCTCATATTTATGTTTACTTTTATCTATCTGAAAATTTGATTAACTAACTGCGACTAAGTATCGTATGAGAAGCACGAATCATTCCGCTGAGTACAAACCCGTTTTTACTTACTTTAAGATCTTTCAACAGGAACAATAAACAGGTACAAGTAATGTTAACGTTTTATAGAATTGTATTGCATTTTCGTTGTAAAAGTGTGAAAACTCTGGCGTAACGCCGACATATGTATACGTGTGTGTGTGTGTGTGTATGTCATATTTTCTTTATTGGCTTCATGTATTTTTTATGCATTATTTTAAAAAAATATTAGCATTGGGCACTCCTTCTCTATATTCTCTATAAGTGTGGAAAATTTCATACTCCTCCGTCCGCGCAATTTTCTTAAAAAGGGACACAAAGTTTTTGCTTCACATATATAGATACCATTGTCACGCGTCATTTTTATTGGGATTTGTTGGGTAAATGTAAATTATTCTCCAGTAATCGGGAGGAGCTCTCGCAAAGCACTCTTCAAGATGTGAAGCTCCTCGTTGTCCCCGGACCGCAGAATGTGTTTACTGATGACGAGTTCGCGGCCATGAAGAGTGTAGTCGAAAGAGGCGATTCGGTGCTGGTCACAATGTCAGACGGCGGAGAGGAGAAGATAAATACGAACATCAACTTCTTCCTAGAAGAATTCGGAATAGTCGTCAATAATGGTTAGCTATTTTTCTTTTGCTATTCATTAAGCCGTTATTTTTGTTTTTTTTTGCCTAGATAGGTGGAAGAGCTCACGGCCCACTTGGTGCTAAGAGGTTACCGGGACCCATAGAAACCCACCTTGAGACATGAGTTCGAAGTCTTAGTTTTATAGTACAGCATTTGCCCCACTGACCCATTTTTTATATATTGCCCGAGCAGGCAGACGATCATACGGCCCACCTGATGGTAAGTGGTTACCGTCGCTCATGGACGTCAGCAACGCCAGGGGCAGAGCCAAGCTGCTGCCTACCGCTTAATACTCTAAACAAGCCTCGTTTGAAGAAGGAAAACTCGCAAACCAAAACCCATTACTGCTTCACGGTAGAAATAAGCACGACGCTTGGTACCTACCCGTGCGGTCCCTCAAGACGCCTTACCGCCAGAGATTTGAGATTAATGCAGATTAGAGACGGGAAATAGGAAAATGTCAAATTAATTAAACCAGTTTTAATTATGTCTACCTTCCAATTTCATTTAGAAGAATTTGTGTCATATCTTTCTAAAGATACGACATGATCAGAGAGATCTTTGTCAGCTCCAATTCTTTTCTGCGCAAACCCAACCATACTCCATCGCGCAATCATGTAATCTGCATTTTTATTTACTTCTATACTCTAAATACTAATTTTTGCTTGTCCCTCCTTCAGCCGTGCTCCTCACTTCTGAGGGTCGTGACCACCTCAATCCACGAGTTTCGTCCTTACCATATTGTACTAGTTCGTCCTGCCTTCCTCTTTTTTGCCTCTAGGATATCGGATTAATAATTCGTATGTCGTATCACTCTTGTCAGAGCGGTCGTGGTCGTCATCCGGCATCATTGTACTAAGAGGCAAACAAGCAAGATGGGTCACCTGATGGTAAGTGATTCACCGCCGCCCACGGTCACCAGCGTTTACGCCAGTGCGTTGCCTACCCTTCAGATAAGAATATGCTCTTTTCTTGAATAACCCAATGTCGCAGTTGTTGGGGAAGACCGCTGATGGCAACGAATTCCAAAGATTTACTGTGCGTGGCAGAAAACTGTTTTTAAAACGCATTGTAGTGGAACGCCAACCATCCAGATGGTGCGGACGATAGTTCCGGCGAGACGATCGGTTGCGAAAATCAGCGGCTTGTATTAAATTGAACAACTCCTCGGAACACTCCCCATTGTTGTGGGCAGATGTTATGCGCCTCACGAGGAATCGCCACTCCTCCCGGTGAGCGTACCAGGCTCACCATAAACCGGGCGGAGTGGCGAATCAATAAAGTCCGGTGCTATTTACAGATTGCGTTGTCCGAGCCAAGTTCCATAAATATTACCACCCTAAAGAATGTCACATCTCGAATGGAATCCTGAACAGGGCCGTCGCCGCACACATTATGAAGACGCCGAACTATGCGTGCGAGTCCGATGATTTTCTGTGAGATTCTATACAAATTTATTGTAGAACTCTTTTTCTTTCAGTTAATCTATATATATATAAATCTACAGTGGTTTTTACGGATGTTCCGTTATAACTACTGAACCGCGCATCCGATTGACTTGAAACTTGGTATCCATGTAGAAAATACATATCGACGCTTGAAAGGCAAACATGACTAAGCGACAATGCGTGAACTTTACAGTAGACTAATTTAAAGTTGAAATACCTGAAAATAAAATTTATTTTAACGAATCTAGCTGTAGTAGAATCTAGCTAGTAGCTGTAGGATTGATATTGATTTAATAGACCTAGAAACTACATGACGATCACGACCACTCTGTCAAGACGACTGAGAAGAAGAAGAAGAAGAAGAAGAAGAAGAAATATATTTTTTTGCGCATCGAATATGGTTATTGCCTATCATTAATGTACAAAGCAGTTAATGTCGCTTAGTCGTGTTTGCCTTTTAAGCGTCGATATATAAATCTACAGTAGTTTTTACGGATCTTCCGTTATAACTACTGAACCGTGCATCCGATTGACTTGAAACTTGGTATCCATGTAGAAAATACATGTACTTAATGTATAGGCTAATATTTATATAAGTGTGTTAATTGTATAATGTTAATTGTAAATGCCCAGCGAAGCGGGCGAGTACGGCTAGTATTTTCTGTAATTACAGAACCGAGAAGTTTGTTTCAATATAAAAAGCTGGTATTTTTTTGAAAACAACGAAACAATGTGTTACATACGCCTATTATAATTTCAGTGAGTTTATATTTTACAATTTGTATACAATTAGATTTTTCATAAGTGATTTTTATTATACGATACGATTCCGTGATCCTGAACTCGAGCTAAGCACATATTTTCCTAGAACAAAAGCTTTGGATAATTCAAACGCACGGGTGCTTTAATTGTATCTTTTAGATCACACGATTTCAAAACTTTTATTTCCTTTGTAGGCAGATGAGCAAACGTCCCGCCTCATAGAGAATGGTTACCATCGCCCATAGACGTAAGCAATGTCGCAAGCCGCTGTCTACCGTAAGCCTCGTTGGAAGAAAAAAAAAACAAACGTGTGGCACTCGGGAACTGCCGCGGTAAAGCTGTTGCATAGCATTTTTTATCAACTTAAGCAATTATAATTAGACAGTGATAATTTAATATTAAAACAACCACGCTATATTAAACATTAATAAAAGCAAAACCTTAACTGTCCCCTTCAAAATCATAAGCTAGACCGCGCGAGAGAGAGATGGGCAGAATTTTCATGATGCGCATGCAGTGTGACGTCACGCCACGCGCTTATTCACAAACGTGTGAATGTGTGGAACGCAAGCTACATGGTAGGCGGAGTGAGGAGTGTAAGGTTTTTTTCGTTACGGAATTTCATGATAACAGTAAGCTGCGCTCATGGCCCGCGATAAAAGCTATGCAATAGCCTAAAAACATCCCCTGTTTACTTAACAAATGTACGCAAAAATTGTTGGTAGCCGACTCTGCATAGCGATTGATATAATCCATCAGTAAGTATATGAAGTCAGCGTCTGAGCGCCATTTCGAGAAAGCGGCGCGACACGATAACCTCTTATCGCGGCCGCCGGTAACTAAACACCCGATCGTGCGGACCAAATGAAAATCGGTCGCCGTCGCCCAAAACACGTCACTGGTGATAGGTCCTTTAGAGTCTGCACGGGTAGGTACCGCCACCCTGCCTATTTCTGCCGTGAAGCAGTAATGCGTGTCGGTTTGAAGGGTAGGGCAGCCGTTGTAGCTATACCGAGACCTTAGAACTTATATCTCAAGGTGGGTGGCGCATTTACGTCGTAGATGTCTAAAAAAAAAACTTCGAATCCTCCGATTCTATCGGGGTATCCTTCTATCTTCTTCTATCGGGATTCTATCAATACTATCGGTGCTTACCGGTCACCGTTCTCGTCGAATGCAACGAAGGGTTCGGCGAGCAAATTAACCCCAGACACAGCCCATTGAGTTTCTCGTCGAACCTTCTCCGTGGGTCGCGATTCCGTTCCGGTCGTAGATTCAACAAAGCACTGCTCTTGTTGTGTTAGCAAATTCGCCAGGCTGAGCTCCGTAAGCTCACCTGCACGTTAGGCGTAGCTTACATATCCCCTTGAGTTTAGCAACATAGGTAGGCAAAACAGATTGATGTAGGCACCGATGATTAAGCTAATATGCAATATTTGTTTTCATAACGTGAACACTTTGTTTGTGGTCAAGAGTTCAATCGAGATACATTATTAATAATATCTTTCAAATAGTTTATCGCATACAGGTTAAGTACGATATTAATTTTATTTATTGACTTATTTACGTTGAGTTTTTTGTTATCTGTTTGTTTTTTATGACAATTATATTATTTTTTTCTGAACGGTAATGGTGTCATTTTAAGATAAATAAAATGCATTTCAGATCTTATACGTTTAAACGAGCAATTCTTATATATACTTATATATAATCTGAATCTCGGAAACGGCTCCAACGATTTTCATAACATTTAGTATACAGGGAATTTCGGGGGCGATAAATCGATCTAGCTACGATTTATTTTCAGAAAATGTTGTTTTATTCGTCTTTTCAATAATCAACTTTATCGATAATCAACTTTATGACTTTTCTCGACATCTATTGGCGAATAATAATACTATTTTTCATAATTGAGAGCAAGACACAATAACACTAAAGCTATTTCAGCAGATGGCGTTGTTAAGCCACCCGAAGCCAATGAGTGTTTGGTTTAAGGTTAGACCAAGAAAATGAATTGTTTATTTATATTATTTAACCAACAAAAAAAAAAACCGATCAAAGCTCGGTCATCGTCTAGTATTATTAATACATGAAATTTGAACCCTTAAAATTAAAAACAACTTTGTAAATTAATATTTTTGGTATTTGAGGATTATTAAGGGGAAGTAGCATTTGATTATCAGCACGATCGCATCGCTTGCTGACGTGATCTGTTTAACTATATTTCTTATAAAACAAGATCATTAGGTGGTAGGACCTCTTGTGAGTCCGCACGGGTAGGTACCACCGCCGTGCCTATTTCTGCCGTGAAGCAGTAATGCGTTTCGGTTGAAGGGCGGGGCAGCCGTTGTAACTATATTTGAGACCTTAGAACTTATATCTGAAGGTGGGTGGCGCATTTACGTTGTAGATGTTTATGGGCTCCAGTAACCACTTAGCACCAGGTGGGCTGTGAGCTCGTCCATACGTCTAAGCAATAAAAAAATAAAATAAAAAACGCACCTGATAATAAATGGTTATTTGTCCGTGGTTATTAGTTCTTATTAATGTAATCGAGTAAGCAATAATATATTTTAGTAGCATTAGGGGGCATTGCATGCAATATTGCATTAGGGGGCATTGCATGCATTATTACATTGTGGAACATTGCACTGCCTTAGGGGTTTTAAGTCGTTACTGGAGCACATAGAGGTCACACTCTTAAGACTTGAGGTATTTCAATCAGGTATTGTTAGTATCGGTTGAAAAACATCGAAAAACCCTTTCCCTTTCCCAAATAAAAAAAGCAAATCCCACAATGACAGAAATACGCAACATCGTGTTAATTACCCTTGTGCGTTCAATTTTATATAGTGGGATTTGAGTCTTAGTACACGATGAAAGTCCTACGTCACGGACGTGGTTCGAATACGAACGAATAGATTTAAACTCTGGTACAGTAATAAATAAACGAGAGGATATCTTCTTCTAGATTCTTCTTCTTCTTCCAATGCCTCTTCAATCCTGAAGGTTGGCCGTTAGCTTCCTGTATTCATCTCNCCTTGTGCGTTCAATTTTATATAGTGGGATTTGAGTCTTAGTACACGATGAAAGTCCTACGTCACGGACGTGGTTCGAATACGAACGAATAGATTTAAACTCTGGTACAGTAATAAATAAACGAGAGGATATCTTCTTCTAGATTCTTCTTCTTCTTCCAATGCCTCTTCAATCCTGAAGGTTGGCCGTTAGCTTCCTGTATTCATCTCTGTCAGCAGCCAGCCGGAGCAGCTGTTCGACGGAGGCAATACCCGTCCACTCCCGGATATTCCGGAGCCATTACTTTTTTCTTCGCCCAGCACGTCTCTTTCCGTCCACTTTGCACATCATTATCAGCTATTCTCTATAGCTTCTATATATCAGCATTCTTCTAGATAGATTCTTTGAATATCATTCCACCTGTCACGCACGATTGGGGTACCACTGATCCACCAGCCTCTACAGGGAAGCTTTCTTGAATGCCGGCCTTAATAGATGCGGTAGGTTGCTTTATGATGTCTGTGTATACTGCCAGTGGGTCGTATTGTAAGCCTTCACCGCTAGGAACCGACACCCGTTTGTCTTATGTAGGCGGCGGCTTGGCTCTGCCTCTGGCATTCCTGAAGTCCATGGGCGACGGTAACCACTCACCATCAGGTGGGCCGTATGCTCGTCTGCCTACAAGGGCAATAAAAAAATAATAAAAAAAAAAGTTTTTAATTGTTCATAATTCTAATTAAAATTAAATGGTTCATTATTTAATTTAATAATAGTTGTTTACTTCGTTCATAATCTCGGAATTACGTAATGCAGATGACTTTCCCTCGGACAAGGCGATATATCAATCTGTATCTGCGCACCTTAGTGACATTGCCTCATCAATAAATATATCGTTATCAATAAGGTCGAAATGTTTGACTCTTTGACTTTTACTAGAGGTCCCGCAGTAGTCGAAATTCGACTATAATTAATTGGAATTGTAAGTTTGTACACTATTATGATTGTATTTTATACTTCTATAATCACAAATTTCGCCAAGACTACACTATAAAAAATATTAACAAAGACAAACAATATTTAATCTATTCTCAATTTGACAACAGACGTCAAGAACAAAAGTTTGACAATAAATAGTATGCATGCGTGTGTGCGTCAAATACATGGTATGTAGTGTGTGTAATGTTTTCTTTATTGATTTAATGTATCTTTTATGCATTATTTTAAAAAAATATTAGCATTGTGCACTCCTTCTCTATATTCTCTATAAGTGTGGAAAATTTCATACTCCTCCGTCCGCGCAATTTTCGTAAAAAGGGATACAAAGTTTTTACTTCACGTATTAATATATAGATAGATATAGGATATAGATGGAATGAGCTCCCCTCCTCAGTGTTTCCCGAGCGCTATGACATGTCCTTCTTCAAACGAGGCTTGTGGAGAGTATTAAGCGGTAGGCAGCGGCTTGGCTCTGCCCCTGGCATTGCTGAAGTCCATGGGCGACGGTAACCACTCACCATCAGGTTGGCCGTATGCTCGTCTGCGTACAAGGCCAATTAAAAAAAAAAAAATAAAAAAAAAAAAATTGTACATAATTCTAATTAAAATTAAATGGTTCATAATTTAATAGTTGTTTACTTCGTTCATAATCTCGGAGTTACGTAATGCAGATGACTTTCTCTCGGACAAGGCGATATATCAATCTGTATCTGCGCACCTTAGTGACATTGCCTCGTCAATAAATATATCGTTATCAACAAGGTCGAAATGTTTGACTCTTTGACTTTTACTAGAGGTCCCGCAGTAGTCGAAATTCGACTATAATTAATTGGAATTGTAAGTTTGTACACTATTATGATTGTATTTTATACTTCTATAATCACAAATTTCGCCAAGACTACACTATAAAAAATATTAACAAAGACAAACAATATTTAATCTATTCTCAATTTGACAACAGACGTCAAGAACAAAAGTTTGACAATAAATAGTATGCATGCGTGTGTGCGTCAAATACATGGTATGTAGTGTGTGTAATGTTTTCTTTATTGATTCAATGTATCTTTTATGCATAATTTAAAAAAAATATTAGCATTGTGCACTTCTTCTCTATATTCTCTATAAGTGTGGAAAATTTCATACTCCTCCGTCCGCGCAATTTTTGTAAAAAGGGATACAAAGTTTTTGCTTCACGTATTAATATCTAGATGTGACACATTGTTTAGTTTCTCGTTGCTACATTCGCTGTTGCCAATTCAGAAACGATATGATCGATTAATATTTTCATTTTGTAATTTAATTTTTATTATTTTCGTTCATTTCATTTATTTTGATTTTTATTTGGACTAGTAAGTAAATCGTTTTTAGTTTTAGTCTGAGGGAAGCCTATGTTTAGCAGTTTAAATCGAAAGATTGACGCGACGGTGACAGAGGGAATCGCTAAATGAGGCCGTCAGCGTAAAAGTGGCTTAACTTACAAATTTTCATAATCATGCTTGCCTTTAAGTATATTGCAACTTATTTAAAATATCATAAACTTTGATGAAAAACCGGCCTATCCATAGTTTCACCCCTAGATAACAGATGGCTTTGTAAACATTATTTTTGCACGTATTGATTTTTTGTCTACTCAAATTTAAATTCATGATAACTTAATTTTTTTTTTTTTTTTTGTTGCTTAGATGAGTGGACGAGCTCACAGCCCACCTGGTGTTAAGTGGTTACTGGAGCCCATAGACATCTACAACGTAAATGCGCCACCCACCTTGAGATATAAGTTCTAAGGTCTCAATTATAGTTACAACGGCTGTTATAATCTCATTGCTCCACAATAATTATAGTAAGCTTAGGCCACTTTTGCGCTGACGGCCTCATTAGTGTTAATGTGTCTTCGTGTAATAGACAATCCTTTGATCGTGGTATAGATCACCGGTGCCCTACGTGTGGCACTGAAGTAATTATGTCTATTTCTCCCTTCGATCTTTTTACAAAGTCGCCAGAATATCTAGTAAGCTCTGAGAAAGCCAGATCCGAAGATATTGAGAATGAATTAAATCTAAGAGAATTAAAAGACTGAAACATACATATTTTTTTATTGCTTAGATGGATGGACGAGCTCACAGCCCACCTGGTTTTAAGTGGTTACTGGAACCCATAGACATCTGCAACGTAAATACGCCACCCACCTCGAGATATAATTTCTAAGGTCTCAGTATAGTTACAACGGCTACCCCACCCTTCGAACCGAAACGCATTACTGCTTCACGGCGGAAATAGGCGGGGTGGTGATACCTACCCATCCGGACTCACAAGAGGTCCTACCACCAGTGAAAAAACACCACCACTACATTAAAAACAAAAGCCGTATGCTAGTCTGCCTACAAAGGCAATAAAAAAAAAGTCTAAGTTCTTAGTAACAGAAATTGACATAATTACTTCAATGCGCCGCGTAGGGCACCGGTGACCTACATAGCAGTCAAACGGATAAGACGGACTTAGAGATGTAATATTATTCGTCGACATTTGACCACGAAAATTGTTTAGTATTCGTAACGTCGGAAATAATGGTAAGGACGATAAAACACGCGAGATTGAATCTTAAAAGTAGATGAAATTAAGCTTTTATTAGCTTAAAACGTTTTTACCTATTATAATTATAGCACTATGGCCTAATATACCTACTGACCGGGACGGTCAGGTTACAAAGTAATGCGTTTGGTCACTGCGCCATTGTATATTGTCTTTGTCTATCGTTTAGCGAGGATCCATCGACTCCGAATTTTGTTTATCCCTACGGCGCGACTCTAACCGTGAAGAAGCCCGCCGTGGCGGTCCTCTCGAGCAGCGACGTCTGCTACCCGGTCAAAAGACCTGTGGCCGCCTTGTATACGTCAGAAAAGACGGGAGGCAAGTATATCCTGCTAAGACTGCTTGCAACTAGAACTTGAATAACAGTTAAGTGAAAGCCGATAGAGATTCGCTTTCAGATTTGCCGCCGAATTGGTGATCGCGATAGGCACGATTGTAGAGAGCTCGTGTCCGGGTAGTGCCTACTATTCGTAAGGAAGCATGAGGACCCGTTTTTTTACTTCGTATTTGACGCTTCTCAGCCGTCAACCATTCAATAGTATTAATCCATACCCGATCCCGTGGACCGAATGGTAAACAGTCGACGTCACCCTAAACACGTCATTACGGATCCTCCGGATCCATTAACGGTGCTTTTAGCTACCTCAAGCACCGGCCACAGCTCTCGCCGAACCCGTCGCTTTTTTTAAATTTTTTTATTGCTTAGATGGATATACGAGCTCACAGCCCACCTGATGTTAAGTGGTTACTGGAACCCATAGACATCTACAACGTAAATGCGCCACCCACCTCGAGATATAAGTTCTAAGGTCTCAGTATAGTTACAACGGCTACCCCAACCTTCGAACCGAAACGCATTACTGCTTCACGGCGGAAATAGGCGGGGTGGTGGTACCTACCCGTGCGGACTTCCAAGAGGTCCTACCACCAGTAATTACGCAAATTATAAGTTTGCGGGTTTCATTTTTATTACACGATGTTATTCCTTCACCGTGGAAGTGAATCGTTAACATTTGTTGAGTACGTATTGCGACGAAGGGCTCGACGAATAAATTAACCCATAGACACAGCCCACCTAGTTTCTCGCCCGATCTTCTCAGTGAATTGCGTTTCCGATCCGGTGGTAGATTGAAGAATTTATTTAGTAGACTGTAAATTGAAAAGTTTATTTAGATAGACTAGAATATATTTTGTGGAGATCAGCATGCAATATCGCTCTTTGGAATGAAACAAGTAACGCCATCTGGTTCATTTTGCTGATATGAAGTTTACATATCGTATTTGTGGCGCCATCTATAAAAAGGGTTTGGAAGCATTTTTCGTTTTAAATTACACTACGCATCAAATTACTTGTGTACAGCAAAGAAATAACGGGTGTCTCAGAATGTTTTTCGTTTTTAAATGTTAATTAAAAAACAACAATATTTATTAAAACTCGTTTTATTTATAATTAAATTAATAAGCAGTTCTTGAAGTTTATTTATGAAAAACAACCGTTTGCAAATGCGCACCATTCACTTGTTCACACTCATTTAACCTGGAGCTAAAATTTTCAATCACTCGCTGGAGCATCGCTCTTAATAAATAAATAATAAATAAATAAATATTTACTAACAATCACCCCACGTTAACTGGTCCCGTGGTAAGTTCGTAAAGAATTTGTGTTACAGGTACCAGGTAACGGAAATAAATGTAATATTTTTATTATACACCTACATATATTTAATATACATCCATAACCCTGGAAAAGGCATTTTTATATTTATCATACAAATATCTTCTCTTGGCGGGATTCGAACCCGCGACCCCCTTGTGTAGTGACCATGTCACTTAGGTACACTACACCAGACGGCCGTTAATTGCCGTTCTTGGAATAAGAGTTGATATCTTCCGTGATTCTTTGCTTCAAAACATTCAGGTTGGGTGGCAATGGATTGTAAACTTTACTTTTGAGTTAGCTCCATAGGAAAAAATCAGCAGGCGTTAAATCAGGGCTCCTCGGTGGCCAGTTGATGTCTCCTCGGCGACTTATCACTCTTACAGAGAATAAATCTTGAAGAGCAGCTAATGAGTCATTTGTAACATGAGAAGGGGCTCCATCTTGCTGGAAAAAGGTGTAGCAGTTGTAGCCATACTGGTTTTGCATTTCTGTAGCCAAAAAAGTCCGGATCATATGGCCGTATCAAGTAGTCAATTCAAAAACGAAAAACATTCTGAAAAATGAAGTCGTCGTTGCCTAAAGGATAAGACGTCCGGTGAATTCCTATATAGCGTTGCAACGGTGTTCGAATCTCAGGCGGGTACCAATTTTTCTAATGAAATACGTACTCAACAAATGCTCACGATTGACTTCCACGGTGAAGGAATAACATCGTGTAATAAAAATCAAACCCGCAAAATTATAATTTGCGTAATTACTGGTGGTAGGACCTCTTGTGAGTCCGCACGGGTAGGTACCACCGCCCCGCATATTTCTGCCGTGAAGCAGTAATGCGTTTCGATTTGAAGGGTGGGGCAGCCGTTGTAACTATACTAAGACCTTAGAACTTATATCTCAAGGTGTTTGGCGCATTTACGTTGCAGATGTCTATGGGTTCCAGTAACCACTTAAAACCAGGTGGGCTGTGAGCTCGTCCATACATCTAGGCAATAAAGAAAAAACATCCTTTACTAGGTGTGTCGGTTTTGCAGTATCGTTCGTATGGAAACTGCGATCCTACGTTTTATAAATGCAGGAAAACTGTTCGTTATCGGCTCCGGTCATTTCTTTGCTGACCAATACTTGGAGTCGGAGTGCAACGACCTCATCAGGGACTTGGTGTTCGGCTACCTGACTGGAACAGTTGCTCTACATTTGAACCCCGTCGACGCCGAGGATCCTGATGTGAGTTTGTCGGGTTCATATAAATATAAAGGGAAATTCGACTCTATGAATATATAATTCGAGCTATTTAAAGTAAGTGACATTTATCATAGTGCTCTAAAGATAAGCCGCCTGAGTTTCCTCGTGAAATATATACGTCTTTGGCGTACTTTTGCGATTAACCTCAACCACAAAGGAATAACAACGTGTATAAAAATCTAATCCGCAAAAAATATTATTTGCGTAATTATTGATGGAAGGGCATCTTGTGACTCCGCGTAGCAACAATGCGTTTTGGTTTGAAGGGCGGGGCAGCCCTTGCACTGCAGAACTGAGACTTATAATTGCCTCAAGGTATATGTACATGATCCACTTATTGGTTCTCGTGCTTAATAATGAAAAACGATTCTGTTTTACTTGTGTGTTCGATACGCGGTTTTTTTTATTGCTTAAATGGGTGGACGAACTCACAGCCCACCCGGTGTTAAGTGGTTACTGGAGCCTGTGGACATCTACAACGTAAATGCGCCACCCACCTTGAGATATAAGTTTTAAGGTCTCTGTACAGTTACAACGGCTGCCCCACCCTTCAAACCGAAACGCATTACTGCTTCACGGCAGAAATAGGCAGGGTGATGGTACCTACCCGTGCGGACCATCACTAGAGGTCCTACCATCAGTAAAAAACGGTGCAGATAAACGAGTACCGGACGGTGGGGGACGTTTGCTGGTTGAGCTCCAGGCCGCTGCCGGAGCCCGCCGCGCCCCCTCCCCTCCGGGCGCCCCCGCACCCACACGCCCTCTTCACTTGGACACTCTTTTCCCTCAACTTGGCGCATCGTGAGTATCCCACAGACAGATAAAATTTGAACTATAAGCAAGACCTTTCCAGAGATGGAGCTGTATTTAAGAAGTTTCACCGGTGGCAGTACTTACTACTTGTACATAAAAGGCCAGTCGGTATTTTACAGTTGAGAATTTTACCATAAAGATCCGATCCGTTCATCCTTATTTTCTTTTTCGTTAAGTCCACTTTCCTCCAAGTCGGTTGAAATTATTGTACCTAAACGTGGTGGTAGGCTTTGTAGCCACAACGTCTTACTTGTCACATTTGTATCAGGGGTGGCGGCATTCCGATAACCCCCAACACCAGATGAACCATGAGCTTATTTACACATGCAACGCAATATTATTTTTTTTAGTATTGATTTGTCATCGGTCCATAATAAGTATACCAAATTTCGAGTTAATCTGACGTTTTGTAGGGGGTCAAAATAATGTTCAAAAATTTCGTTACATACATACGTCTGAAGCTAATAAAAGCGTATTAAAAAAAAAAAATATACCGAAATCGTGACATTTTTGTTGCTTTTCTGATCAGCTCGTAGATACTAATCTGCTAGGTAGATTAAAGGTGGTGGAATGACCAGATCCAGTCTAGGAATACATACTCATGGACTAATATATAACAAGCTATCTTACATATTTAATATAATACCTAGGTTAAGATAAAATCTAGGTAAAAAACTGATTTATGCCGGATTTCAGTACCAGAAGTACTAGGACTGTATGAAGCGTTAGGAGTCAAACACGAAGCGCTGAAGCTGATCGCGCCCCAGTTCGAAACCCCGTTCCCGCCGCTGCAACTTGCCGTGAGTACACTCTTCGGATTAATTATTGCATTATTTGCAGAGCATTTTACTAAATACATTTTTCAGACAGACAGATATAGGGACAGAGAAAGCAACTTTGTTTTATACTATGTAGTGATAAGCTGTGTCGCTCTGGGTCAGGTGTTTCCGCCCACGTTCAGGGAGCCCCCTCCGCCGCCGCTGGAGTTGTTCGATCTGGACGAGGCGTTCAGCTCCGAGCGCTCGCAGCTGGCGAGGCTCGCCAACAAGTGTCTGCAACCGACCTCCAGCAGGATGGGTCAGGGTGAGTCATATTGCTTGGTTGGGTGGACGAACTCACCGCTCCTCTGGTGTTAAATGGTTACCGGAGTCCATAGACATCAATAACCTGAATGCTGCCACACATGAATTCGTCGTCGCCTAAAGGATAAGACCCAATGACCCCGACTGCTCTGCTAAGAGCAACCGATTATGATGATGATGAAAGTTCGAATCCCGCAGGCGGGTACCAATTTTTCTAATGAAATACGTACTTATCAAATGTTCACGATTGACTTCCACGGTGAAGGAATGACATCGTGTAATAAAAATCAAACCCGCAAAATTATAATTTGCGTAATTACTGGTGGTGGAAGCTCTTGTGAGTCCGCGCGGGTAGATACCACCACCCTTCTTATTTCTGCCGTGTAGCAGTAATGCGTTTCGGTTTGAAGGGTGGGGCGGCCGTTGTAACTATACTTGAGACCTTAGAACTTATATCCTCATTCAAATTAAGGTTCAAACACCCGACGACCATAGGGCCCTCTCTTCTTACCTCCGTAAGGAACGTATAAGTTTCCATACTTATACGCTCCAGGAGGAGCGCGAACTCCGCGTTGTAATACGCGGAATCCCTAAACAGTTAGATGTAGAGCTCGTCAAGGCCGATCTGTTAGAACAGGGCTTTCCAGTGAATTATGTGCACCGTATGCACACCGGTCGCGGTAGGGAGCCATATAATATGGTTCTAGTCACCCTCCAGCCTACCCCCGAGGGTAAGAAAATCTTCAACACACAGACCGTCTGTAGGCTCTCCGGTATCGCCATCGAAGCCCCCCATAAAAAAGGCACTCCTAGCCAGTGCCATAACTGTCAATTGTACGGGCACTCTTCCCGTAACTGTCACGCGCGCCCCCGATGTGTTAAGTGTTTGGGCGATCACGCCACGGCCCTCTGCGCTCGCGACCAAAAAACCGCGACGGAACCGCCTAGCTGCGTCCTGTGTCGAACACAGGGTCACCCCGCGAATTACCGTGGTTGCCCCCGAGCCCCTAAAATAAATCGCCGCGTCGCCCGCCAAAACCGCCTCCGAGCTTCCGGCCCAGACATCAAAGCCTCGGCACCCTCTGCGTCGCAGGCTAAGCCAGCGTTCGTTCCGGCGGCGGTGCCCAGTGTCTCGGCCTGGGCAAAACCGCTGCCGTACACGAACACGGCTACAACTCCCTCCTCCGCGATTCGTCCCGCCCCCGCGACTCGTCCCTCTCCCGCGACTTGCCCTCCGACCGCGTCCGACAATCTCGCTTTAGCGATCGACTTCTTTCAGTCGATCAACTTTGAGCGCGTTAACGCTTTGGGCGACGCCATTCGCGCTGCCTCCACTGCACAACACTTTATCGCCGTTGTGCAGGAATACGCCGACGTATACGCGTCATTAAATACGTACGTCCTCCCCTCACTCCGCCGGTAATCAATGGCGTATATAAGTAGAATAAAGCCCCTATCCGTAACGATAGGATTTTTTAACGCTTACGGTCTCGCAAATCAACGTGATCAGGTTTCTGACTTTTTGCGTGACCACCAAATTGATATCTTTTTAGTGCAGGAGACCCTACTTAAGCCCGCGCGCCGTGACCCTAAAATCGCGAACTATAACATGGTCAGGAACGACAGGCTCTCTGCCCGTGGTGGTGGTACCGTCATTTACTATAGAAGAGCCCTGCATTGCGTCCCGCTCGATCCTCCCGCGCTCGCTAATATCGAAGCATCAGTGTGCCGAATCTCACTGACGGGACACGCGCCGATCGTTATCGCGTCCGTTTATCTTCCACCGGATAAGATCGTTCTAAGCAGTGATATCGAGGCGCTGCTCGGTATGGGGAGCTCTGTCATTCTGGCGGGCGACCTAAATTGTAAACACATCAGGTGGAACTCACACACCACAACCCCGAATGGCAGGCGGCTTGACGCGTTAGTCGATGATCTCGCCTTCGATATCGTCGCTCCGCTAACCCCGACTCACTACCCGCTAAATATCGCGCATCGCCCGGATATACTCGACATAGCGTTATTAAAAAACGTAACTCTGCGCTTACACTCGATCGAAGTAGTTTCAGAGTTAGATTCAGACCACCGTCCCGTCGTTATGAAGCTCGGTCGCGCTCCCGATTCCGTTCCCGTCACGAGGACTGTGGTGGATTGGCACACGCTGGGCATCAGCCTGGCTGAATCTGATCCACCATCGCTCCCGTTTAACCCGGACTCTATCCCGTCTCCTCAGGATACCGCTGAAGCCATAGACATCTTAACGTCACACATCACCTCGACATTAGATAGGTCATCGAAACAAGTTGTAGCGGAGGACTTCCTTCACCGCTTCAAATTGTCCGACGATATTAGGGAACTCCTTAGAGCTAAGAACGCCTCGATACGCGCCTACGACAGGTATCCTACCGCGGAAAATCGTATTCGAATGCGTGCCCTACAACGCGACGTAAAGTCTCGCATCGCCGAAGTCCGAGATGCCAGATGGTCTGATTTCTTAGAAGGACTCGCGCCCTCCCAAAGGTCTTACTACCGCTTAGCTCGTACTCTCAAATCGGATACGGTAGTAACTATGCCCCCCCTCGTAGGCCCCTCAGGCCGACTCGCGGCGTTCGATGATGACGAAAAAGCAGAGCTGCTGGCCGATACATTGCAAACCCAGTGCACGCCCAGCACTCAATCCGTGGACCCTGTTCATGTAGAATTAGTAGACAGTGAGGTAGAACGCAGAGCCTCCTTGCCACCCTCTGATGCGTTACCACCCGTCACCCCGATGGAAGTTAAAGACTTGATCAAAGACCTACGTCCTCGCAAGGCTCCCGGTTCCGACGGTATATCCAACCGCGTTATTAAACTTCTACCCGTCCAACTCATCGTGATGTTGGCATCTATTTTCAATGCCGCTATGGCGAACTGTATCTTTCCCGCGGTGTGGAAAGAAGCGGACGTTATCGGCATACATAAACCCGGTAAACCAAAAAATCATCCGACGAGCTACCGCCCGATTAGCCTCCTCATGTCTCTAGGCAAACTGTATGAGCGTCTGCTCTACAAACGCCTCAGAGACTTCGTCTCATCCAAGGGCATTCTCATCGATGAACAATTCGGATTCCGTACAAATCACTCATGCGTTCAACAGGTGCACCGCCTCACGGAGCACATTCTTGTGGGGCTTAATCGACCAAAACCGTTATACACGGGAGCTCTCTTCTTCGACGTCGCAAAAGCGTTCGACAAAGTCTGGCACAATGGTTTGATTTTCAAACTATTCAACATGGGCGTGCCGGATAGTCTCGTGCTCATCATACGGGACTTCTTGTCGAACCGCTCTTTTCGATATCGAGTCGAGGGAACCCGCTCCTCCCCACGACCTCTCACAGCTGGAGTCCCGCAAGGCTCTGTCCTCTCACCCCTCCTATTTAGCTTATTCGTCAACGATATTCCCCGGTCGCCGCCGACCCATTTAGCTTTATTCGCCGACGACACGACTGTTTACTATTCTAGTAGAAATAAGTCCCTAATCGCGAAGAAGCTTCAGAGCGCAGCCCTAGCCCTAGGACAGTGGTTCCGAAAATGGCGCATAGACATCAACCCAGCGAAAAGTACTGCGGTGCTATTTCAGAGGGGAAGCTCCACACGGATTTCCTCCCGGATTAGGAGGAGGAATCTCACACCCCCGATTACTCTCTTTAGACAACCCATACCCTGGGCCAGGAAGGTCAAGTACCTGGGCGTTACCCTGGATGCATCGATGACATTCCGCCCGCATATAAAATCAGTCCGTGACCGTGCCGCGTTTATTCTCGGTAGACTCTACCCCATGATCTGTAAGCGGAGTAAAATGTCCCTTCGGAACAAGGTGACACTTTACAAAACTTGCATAAGGCCCGTCATGACTTACGCGAGTGTGGTGTTCGCTCACGCGGCCCGCACACACATAGACACCCTCCAATCCCTACAATCCCGCTTTTGCAGGTTAGCTGTCGGGGCTCCGTGGTTCGTGAGGAACGTTGACCTACACGACGACCTGGGCCTCGAATCAATTCGGAAATACATGAAGTCAGCGTCGGAACGATACTTCGATAAGGCTATGCGTCATGATAATCGCCTTATCGTTGCCGCCGCTGACTACTCCCCGAATCCTGATCATGCAGGAGCCAGTCACCGTCGACGCCCTAGACACGTCCTCACGGATCCATCAAATCCAATAACCTTTGCATTAGATGCCTTCAGCTCTAATACTAGGGGCAGGCTTAGGGACCCCGGTAACCGTACTCGTCGAACTCGACAATGAAGTCGACGTGCAACCTAACCCATGCATCAGCCCGCTGAGTTTCTCGCCGGATCTTCTCAGTGGGTCGCGATTCCGATCCGGTAGTAGATTCATTCGCGAAACAATTGCTCTTGAGTTGTTAGGTCTCCTTCGGAGGCGCTTGGGCAGTTGTTAGCAAATCCCACCCCTCTTGGCTGAGCCTTTGCTCGCCCACCTGTCCTGGTGAAACTGGAAAGGCCTTCGGGCCACCAGTAAACTTTCAATAATAAAAAAAAAAAAAAAAAAAAACTTATATCCTCAAGGTGGGTGGCGCATTTACTTCGTAGATGTCTATGGGCTCCAGTAACCATTTAATACCAGGTGGGCTGTGAGCTCGTCCACTCATCTAAGCATTAAAAAAAAAAGATGCATTAATGTAAAAATGGGCAGATTAAATCAGAGTGCGAATAAAGTTAGTCTGTTTAATGTATACATCTGACACCCAAAACTATTAAGGCTAGTACCTACATAAGAGCTCCTTCCAGGAGACGGGAGTCAGTTGGAGAATGAACTGGAGTACTTCGTGCGCGAGTGTGGTCGCGCGGTGCGGCTGACGCGCGCTCAGCCTCCCGAGGAGGGACCCACCGCCAAGCACATACTGCACCAGCTCGCTCTCCAACTCGCTACCTTCAAGAAGATCTCGCCGAAAGACTAAAATATCTAATCAATCGGGTAACAAGTGATCGAAGATTGTTGTTACCAGCGGTAGGACTGTGAGTTGAACAGCCATTGAGACCTGTTGCAATCTGTCGTACTTATCTCAAAGTATTAAATATCTTTACCCAAATCCACAAGAAATCGAACTGCCTTCCCTGGGGAGCTATTCTTAACCTTCTCGGCCCTAAGAGTGCTCCCACAAACAATATCTAAAACAGTTCAAAGTGCGCAGTGATTGCGGAGGAGTTTCTCATATTCACTGATTTTCTTACCCTACATTCTATGACACATATTTTTTGCTCTACATTCTAGCCCAAATATCTCTTGCTTTACGCCCTAATCTACATATTTCTTACTCCGCATCCTTATCCATACATCTCTTGCCCTACATTCTAGTTTACATATTTTTGCTCAACTTCTAACCTACATCTTTCTTGCTCTACATCCCAATCCACATATTTCTTGCTCTACATCCTAATACACACATTGAATAGCTACTACCTTGAGCCAACCTAGTTCTATCGTTAATATTCGCTTCGAGTTGTTAAAGACCGGTGAGTGGATGGCTATAGAAAGTGAACTCTTCTTCCCAACATATATCTCGTATAAAAACATCATAATTGTTGAAATTAGATTACTGTTTGTTTGTATAAGACGAATGTATCCCGTGACGGTGTGCCATTTTCAATAAAATGTATTTTTCACATATCGTTACGTGTTTTATTTTATGTTCTAAAATATAAGAGTATAACAGAATGTTTGGTGCTGTAAGAACTGATGTAGGTAATGTATATATAGTCAGTGAACCTTGCTACTGTATTTATACTTTACTGGTACTAATATACTTGCTATTAGCACACGGGTCCAGTCGGTAATTACATTAAACTAGAATTCGTCAGTGCTTATAAATAAACTAACTGGACACTAATAAATAACATGGTCCAGAGAAACGATTTACCTATCACGCTGACTGATGGACCACAGCTGGACTAAAGTCAGCGCTCCCCTAAAAAACTTCCGCATATAAATGCTACCAGAAAATTTAATCTAAAAAAACGGTACGTTAATTCGTCTATAGCCATTTCAAAATAAATTATCGCGAATAAAAATAACAATTTCAATCGAGCAAAACGAAAAACGATAACAAATCTCATAAAAAAATATTCGATGGAATAAGGCGCACCGCCGGAGCCATGAAACTGTTCATAATATTGTTAATATTGTACGTATACAATGTATTCGGCGAGAAAACCATCTTCGTTAAGAGCTACCCGAAGAAAGTGAAGCCATTTGGGGAGTTGCGAGTCAATTCGGGACACTTCGTGAAGCTACAGAAGAATCTAAACAATGAATACACCGCGTTCCCTGTCGTGGATCCGAAAAGCAAGATGAACGTTCCGCAGAGTCTCTACTTCCCGGCGGATCAGGCCTTGGAACAGAAACCCAGAATCAAGAAATTACTCCCCGAACACAATTGGAAGTCGATGAGATCGAAAAGGTCCGTGAAAGTTGCAAACGAAACTGAAAAGGTTTTGGAAAACAAAAACAGAAGATCGCGTCAACACAGAAAGCCACGGAAAAGTAAGAAGCGACAGCGCAGAGGTGACAGGAAACAGAAGAGAAACCACTCGAAATCCAATAAACGCGAGCATAAGAAACGCCAGAAAGGGCCAAGACACGATCGTGCGAATAAAGGTAAATAAAGAATTTGATGTTCCGGAAATCTATTATGATGATGATATAAGGAAAAAGCATTACAATCATCGAACCGTATAAGAATACTTTGGAGTTGATAGATAAATTATTTAGAAACGCTCTCATAATAGTGCACATTGAAGAGAGGTCCAAAAATAAATCAAACAATATCAGGAAGATTCACTCTACAAATGACCAATTTCAAAGGGTACATGACCTATACTATGGTTGGTAGGAAAATCTTTTGTAAGATATCATTATTAATTCTATGTCATCATAATTAGCAAATTGAATAAATATGAATTAAAAAACAAAACGTTTTTCAATTTATACCCTTTTGTCATTAGTCGAGTCAAGAAGGATCATAACGGGAAAGGACGCGCTGATCGAAGACTACCCTTACGTGGTGTCGATACAGAAACAGCGCGAGCACTGGTGCGCCGGCGCCCTGCTCAACCCGAGGCTCGTCATCACGACCGCCAACTGTCTATGGAAGTGAGTACGTAGACAAAACTCGCTACAAATCATTTAGCTCTAGCAACTCATCATTCCTATAGCCGCTAGGTTAATTACCCTAAAAAATCTTATTATTCGATAAGAAAATATTGGTAAAAAATGATGTAGACCTCTAAATCGCTTTGAGCTGGCATCAGAAGATTGTTCTGTGATTATGTCACATAGTAAAGGATGGTTCTGAAATATGAGTATTTAGAAAACCTTACCTTCGAACTATATCGTACATCCTTACAATAGTGCGTAACCATAATCTATATATAAATAGGTAAAGACGAAACAATACGTATCATTTTCTATTGTTTCGTCAATAAATTTACCTCTTTTCTTTCCTTTTGTCCTTAGCTCCCTAACCATGTGCTTGCTTTAGTGAAATCAAATTTTATTTGTTCTAAATTTCAAGAACAAAACATATGTTAAAATTAAATGTAAAATAAGAGAAAATAAAAAATGAACTGAAATCTCGATTTTTCAGTGATTGTGGACCAATTGCTAACAATATACGAAAAATACGTTTGTTTTTAGTCAAATTTAATAGATTCATTGAAACACAATGACATATTGAGAAGATGAGAATTGTAACATTTGAAACTTAATTCTTACAAATAGCACCTACTGGTTTCCTTCATCAATATGGATTCGGTCCATAAATATAGGCTTATAAACTCACGGTCTACTTGCTGTGAGTAAGACAGTGATTCCGGTTACCGTCCTCACCGAGCCCGTCGCTTGCGACGAAGGGCTCGTCGAGTAAATTAACCCATAAACACAGCCCACGGAGTTTCTCGCCGGATCTTCTCAGTGGGTCGCATTTCTGATCCGGTTGTAGATTCCGTGAACCACTGCTCTTGCTTGGGCCAGTGTTAGCAACACTCCCGGTTTGAGCCCCGTGAGTCCACCTACTCAAACCCTCTCAAAGCTATCAGCATAGGTAGGAAAAAAAAGGCAGTCACTCCCTTGAGACAAATCACTACTAAGTAATGGAGCCCAAGTAACCTTTTAGGTATGTAAGCAACCTTCCGATTTGTGCTGCAAAACATTCTATTTAAATGGCTGGTTTACTTTTTTGTATCAAAGTTGGACAAAAAATGCACGCTGTGATCTCTATAGATTGTATCTATTACCTAGGCAGTGGCTGCCGTAAATTCTTCTCCCATATTCGCTAATTTAAGAAACCAGTCTGCCAATACACGAACTCTTTCGTCTTTCAACACTAGATCGAAACAGATAAGTCGTCTCCGCATCAGAGTTGGATCAAGGTACATTGACCGTGGCGGACAATCGGCCAGGATACAAGAAGTCATGAAACATCCGAATTGGGGTATCAGAAGAGGTCCAGACAATGACGTAGCTCTGATCCTTATGGATACCAAAATTAAGTACGATCACTTAAAGCAATTTACATTATTAGAAATAATTAACTGGCTTTATATATAGAGAATATTATTATGTGCAACTATGTTCGTTTGGCGCAGCTAAGTTTTTGACTGAATTCTGGACATGGTTTAAACCGGATGGATTGGTTTCTTCGTCTTCTTACCGGTGGAATAGCAGTTGTTTCAAAGCATCAAAGACTGACCTTTTACTTGATGGTATAGATCTATAAAATCTACATGATATTTAGTGGATTTTGAACCGGTCTGCCCATCTCTGTTTATAAAAAAACTGCTCCAAACTAAATTGTTTCTGATTTAGCCTAATCTTAAATAAGAACTTTACAAATTAATGGTATAGCAAATCTGTACGTCACTCTCGCGGCTGTATGCCCTATCTATCTATCTCTTAGGTTTATGGCGTTTACCTTGGCTGTATGCCCACTCACTATACATAGTTTTTAGTATCTATGTCAGGCTTTTGACCGAGAAGTGTATAATCTGTGCTTCCGGGTGCTTCCGTTTAAAAGTGTGAGTAGCGTGCGCCCGCGTCATAATGTAATTGTCATTTAAATCGAAAATTGTTTGTGTATATAACAAGATTAGAATTCGAAAATTGATATGAGTGACTAACCCGTAGTTTAATTGAATAAAAACACCCCTGAGACCTACCCCTAACTATAATTGAATATGCAATTTCGAAAAGGGTACCTCTCTGAAAATGTAAAATTTTTAGAAAATTAAAAAAAAGTGATTATTTTCTAAAGCAGTGTAAAATTTAAAATATTAACTTTTGAGATATATTTTAGTGTTAATTAGCAATTGAAAATTACTGGAATTATTATAAAATGGGTGTAGGTAAGCCTCAAAACTACATGTATATGAAAAAACGTATTTGACAAAATATGCGACATGTGCCCTTTTCGAAATTGCATATTCAATTGTTGTTTTTTTTATTTTTATTTTTTCAATAAGATTTTCACATCACGTTCACGCCGTTGATCTTCCAAACGAGGCCATGAAGCCCGCGTTCGACGATGCTTGGGTAGCAAGCTGGGGATCTGACAGGGTAAGTTCACAAGTAAGGTATAGATATAGCGCCGATGTTAGGAAGCTCTATGACACCGGTAGGTTACCGCGACTCCCTGCAAAGCCAGGACCTTGAAACTGTGATACTTAAAAACAAATCTTTTTTTGTACGGAAACTAGTGACATCTTGTAGCGGATGCCTCTAAACCTATATGTTGTTAAAGTTAAGTCTGTATTTGTTATAGACATGTTAATTAAATTTTATTATTCTCTGGTTTCTGAAAATTTATAAAATCCTTCATTAAAAATATAATTTAGGATAGATAATATGTTACTGTCATCTACAAGAGCAATGAGAAACTAATCGAAGCGAAGCCATCTAGTGGCCGACGCCCGTAAACATTTTCGTTGAATGCTTTAGTTGCCTATCTTTAACTAATTTATGTGTATTATCTATGTGCAATGCATCCACACATTCGGGCTTAAGAGGTAGGCATATACAGATTTAAGAAATTATTATTTTTTATATTTCTTAAATACTCAGTGTAGTTGTAATACATTTGATAATTAATAGAATATGTCATCGCTTGTTTGTGATGAAATCATCATCAGTGACATAAACTGGAGCCGCTATCCCAAAATCATTTTGACCTTTTAATGTCCCTTTTAATCCTTCTTTTAATGTCTCTTACTTTTTGGTACGACTGACTACATAATGTTCAAAAACATGTTCGTATTTTTATAAACCGTACTGATTAAAAGTTTGTTAAAAGTCGTAAGTACCTTCATGCTTTAGTTAAAAATTATTAAAGCGTTTTAAGATTATGAATAAAATTACACCAAAAGCGACAAGTATGACTCTTATAGACACATAAAAATATAGGCTCAAGTATCTGTTTGAATGAAGCCAGTGATGACGTCATTTGAGGGCAAACAAAGATCAAAGGTATTTGATTAAAAATATTGCTAATTCAATTCATTCAAAATCGGTGTCCTGTAATC